TTTCCACACTAGTTATGTAATATACTATTTTTGGACTTGCAGCGAGGGGTAAATCTCCTTGGAAGTCTGGTGTACACTCCGTTGGAAGTCTTTGGAATTCTTTGGATGTCTTTGGAAGTCTTTGGTAGTCTTTGGATGTCTCTGGAAGTCTTTGGATGTCTTTGGAAGTCTTTGGAAGTATCTGGAAGTCTTTGGATGTCTTCGTCTTCGGAAGTCTTTGGTAGTCTATGTTAATTGGAAGTCTGGTGTACACAATTTTCCTGGAGATTTACCCCTCGACTCGCAGACTTCTTGTCTAGTCAAAAAAAAACAGTATTTTCCGAACTTGTTACGTAAATTACTATTTTCTACAAATATTATAAAACCAATGTTGTGTGATTCTTTCATTGAAAACTCCATCATTTTGTGTCCAGCCATGAATGTCATTGTCAATTTTGATTACCAATTTGATTCAAATTACTTGAAACGTTGCATAGCAACAAACTTTTTCTGCCTAGGCAGAGAAAGTATACCTTTGCTGCCTAGAAAAGCCACTTTCTAATAATTGGTTTCTATGCCGTTTGGAGAAAACATATATCTTTGATTTATTATTTCGGCGAAATTCCACATGATTTTTGATGGAAATTAACAAATTATTCCAGACAGGTGTCTCCTACATCTAATTAAGGATTCTGGCATGGTATGTTCAATCGAAAATTCCACAATCTCGGTCTCATATATTAAGGAGATCGGTCATCTCATACTCTACATTCAAATTCAAGGATAATCCTAATTAAAAAGATCAGAAAATTATTGAAAGTATTATAAGATGAATCCGAGGATGAATTATACAGGTTGGTCCAGGTTAAACGTCATAAATTTCGATAGGCGATAGAACAACGGAGAAGAACTTGATTACAGAGATATAGGGTGTTCAAAATCGAGATTTTTTAACTTTAGGATTCTTCTGTGTCGAAACTATTCATTATTGGTCAGAACGACTCACATGTCCCCATCTTAACGTTTGATTCACTATCTACTGATATTTAATTTAGACGAATACAGAGTAATCTTTGGTAGAAGTCCATATTGCTCAAAGTGGAGTGAAATATTTCAAAGGAAAGACTTCGAACATTCCTTCCTTCCTTTGGAATACAGGGTAGTTCAAAACTCGCCGAATCATGAACCACCATCAAAAGTTAAAAAATCTCGATTTTGAACACCCTATATATCTGTAATCATTCCCGCTAGACACCAAGTGTGATGCATTGATGAAAGCAGCTCTTCAGGGAAAATCTGAAAATGCAATGAAATACAGGGTGCTCCATTTGAAAATCGAGAGTTGATGCCCGTTATACGCTACAAGATTTCAATTTTGGAATATGATAGTTGCAGAAAAATGTGTCCCTCGCCAAACTGAAATCGACTTGTCCGAGCGATCTTCAATTTTTTTAACGACATTGGAGATTAGGGCGGTGACATAGTTCTGCGCATGACGTCAGCTGGGATATAACTGTCATTGATATTATTTGTTTTCGTGATTGATGTCTCGAACTTCAGATATTATGTAAGTACTAAAATTTAATGAAATAATTTCGAAATGCCTACTTGTTTCGTTTCTGGTTATGGAAATTCCAACTAACATACAAAAAGCACAGATTTCGAATTTTTCTGCTTTTCCAAGAATGGATACCTAATGAAACGAAGATGGGAGCTTGCTGCCGACAGAATATGAACTCAAATAATGGTACCTACCTTATATTCCTTATATCCTCATTCCAAAGTATTCACCTATCATATTATCGTCACATTCATATTACAGCACGTATTTCTTCGAAACATTTCCATGCCAAATGTTCCCAAACAAGTGCGAAAGTACGGTTCTGGAATTACACACCTCCAAAAAATCACAAATATTTGAAACAAGATGCCATTCCTACAGAACATCTTCCGAATAATTGAAAATGAATTCAAAACTCTTAATTTCTCACAAAATATAAATTGCAGCAAAGATTTGAATAACAAAACGGCAAAAATTGATACTCCTGTTGTCGATGTCGGAGCAGAAGCAACGTCAACGTCTTTAACTGCTGAATTTTAATCTGTCAGAATCGACACAGTAGTGAATCATTCAGATGGGATTAGCAATGCATGATAATTCGTATGTATTTGCTATTTGCGATTGCGAATTACCTCAAGATCACAATTTCCAGAATCAATGAAATAGTAAAATCGAAGGAATAGGAACCTGTTTATATAAATTGAATTATTTCTAAACAGATCGAGAAACTTATATAAATTTCAATAAACATGATTGAATTCATAGGGCACGCCCATGGCAACGGTATCTGTCTGTGACTAGCAGCCGATATTGGTATCCCAGATGACGTCACATAATATACGCGTAAGCACACCATCTTCTCCTTCCACTTTGGGCGGAGACAAGTTTTAGCTGGGACACACTGTATGGTTTTTTTTATAATAGCTATCCTGAGTGAATAAATGTATTCAGGTGTTGAAAATGTGTCCATCCACGATGTCTCGATTTAGAATCTAACAATATTTTTATCTAATTCGGAAATTCAAGATCATCATCGACCTTTTTTAGCAAATGACAGTTCCCCTTAAGTTTCAAATTGTCCTCAGACGCCATAATGATAGGTTTGTTTTATCCGCAGGATTTAGTTGGTTTTCAAAAACATAAAGAATTTATACAGGATCGTTACAGATTCGCTGGCACGGTTACAAATAGAAAATAGTTTTAGAGATTAGTCGCAGAAGATTGTATAGAGTTGAAAGCTTGATTTAACTAAAAATTATGCTATCCAATTAGGTTTACTGGGTGTTTCAATAAATCATATAAATATGCTGAAGAAATGAGTAAAAGTCCCATAAACTTTTCATCGTCCTTAATTTTTTTCAAATACCGTCAAGTCTATCGAGAAAGCAAGTCTGGCAACAGATGTATTAGTGTGAAATGCTCCAGTCCAGTTATAATGATTTTTATTTCCAAGGCTGGTTTTGGGATTGTTTCCTATCTGGAGAGGAAAAAATCACCGTGTGAAAAAATTTCAAATCGATCTAAAAGCTCGACCATTCAATAATTATTGTTGATGTTTGTAGGAAAAAATCAATTAAATCAACGCACTTTCAACTTTGAAAAGATTGTTTGCTAACTATGAAATAGTTCTGAGGGCTGATACTTTATAACGTGTGATATACATACAGGGTGAGTCATAACTATTGGGACATAGGCTAGGGGCTATGTTGTAATATTGTAAGTAATCTTCATTCGAATAATTCAAACGAGCCGGCATGATTGATCACAATGACATTTCCGTGGCAGTTGATTGTTTCCAACGCAACTGCGGGCGCCATGGCCAACTATAAGAATAAGTAAACTCAAGAATACGAGATTTTCTGGAACTGAGACATGTTAATTCGTCAATATTTCGAAAACTGTTGAGTGCAGGCATAGATAACCTCATTCAAAGTTAGCTTCATTTTCGATGCCAAATTGAATGAGAATATAAAATTGGGGGGTTTCCATTTGAAAGAAATGACTTACAATAATTTTTTCAACCAGATCTGTATCATTTTCTGGTGAACGCTCTGTATAACTGTAATCGAATTGATATCGAAATTCTACTGAGCTGGGTCCTCTCCTACGAATAAATCGATACACAATCGAAAATTGATGATCATGTCCAGAAGTAAAAAAAAAATCGGTCGTCAAACGCAGTTTTCAACTTTGAATTTGAAATATTTCGAAAACGGCTAGACTTGGGTATAGGACATTATGCGTTAAATCTAAAACCTTGATAATAAACAGGGTGTCCCATTTAAAATAACGAAGTTGGGGTCCACTTCCGGTACAACCGGAAATGCCACAATCTTCAAAATATTTTAGCCGGATAGCAGTTATCATCAATAGTGAACTCCCAAATTTTCAAATTCGGCCCACCTATGGTTTTCTATATATTGATCGATGCAGTTCCCGGAGGGACACCCTATATAATACTCATACGATATTCTGAATATTAGCCATCAAATTAGATATAGTTTCTTGTTTTCCAGTGGATTTTTCATCGATGGGCCTTGTGAATATGTGTCAACATTGTCCATATAACAAATGTTCATATTTAACTTGTAGCTACCACAATTTTTCGTCACACTCTAATTTCAATTTCACCAACATTTAAAATTCACAAATATTCGCAGGTAATATCCCGAGACCATGACAAATAGCCGACTATTATTTTCGTCATAATTCTATCGAGAGCTTTAGCTCGAGGGAGTTATTCTATGATTATTTATGTTCATATGGTCGAATTGTATTGTCCCAAAATACAAGATACTCGAGATGAATTAACGAAAATAATAGTCTCTATTTGTCATGATCGAGTGATATTCAAGAAGATTATTTCACGAACAGTGCAAAAATACTGGTTTACATGAGTTTCAACATTTTATTCAAGTTACAATTTTGCAGATACTGTTTGAATAAAAGTTCTTCTGAGGGTCGTCTGGGGTATTCTCATCCTATCTACGTACAATTGTAATCAATTCATCTAAAGTTAGAGTGAAGAAAGAATATTAACGATATTGATATGCATATTATCCTCGATATAATCATTAATGATGTTTTACCTTGTTGAAAATATGGTTTGCGAAATTTCAAAGTTAAGCTGAATATCGTTGCAACAAACATAAAGTTTGTGATTCCCTGAAAAAATTAAAATCCAAGTCAATTGCAAAAATATGCTTGAATTTGAACAGAGGTATGATCAACTGTTTTGATTATGTTCAATTTATGAACGTGTTTAGAGTGAATATGAAGAAAATCACAAATTGGGAAATTGAAAAACCAAAGAATGCCTTGGGAGGCCATGTTTTTCAAGAAGGAAAAAATACCCTGTATGGCTTTTGTTGTTTTTTTTTTCATCAGTAACAATAAGTCAATCAAGACTCACCCTGTATAAAATACTAGTACTCCTAGGTGCCCAAATGCTGGCGTATACATATATGAATAGCTGGATGTGCGCGAAAATTTGTAAATAAGCGAAAAAAGTGACGTCACGCGACGCCCAGCGTCGTTCAACTCTAGCAGCACGCTTATACATAAATTTTCGCACATTCCGATGCCACAGGAATATAAACGTCGTTTTTGGCCACAGTCATTACATTCATATTTTCGCCGGCAAATCAAAAACAACTCTCAGCGGGATCGAGAGAATTTTCAAAATTTACAATTTTTATTTCCAAAATCGAAAATTGTTCGGTCCACAAGTTGACAATCTAGGTTTGTGACGCGCTAGTGACTATTTTCGATTGATATCTGTGCATCAGTGATACGTCGAGATAATTTGCGATCGATCTTTTTTTATCTATATTTTTTGGACCCTTTCAAGATGTCGACTTGTATCAACGAGAGAGTTTATGTGGTGAGATATATTTATTTAGTTTCTCGTTTAAATTCAAACATAAGCAGTATTTGTAACTTGGCAACAAATCATCGAGGTGTTTCCTTATTTCATTCTTGATTTTTTTTTCCTGTGATAGTTTGTGTTGGAGTGAAATTGAATTCAAAAGTCCAAACATCAATCATTCTTACTATGTCTTTCCTCTAGAAAAGCCGATCTCACTGTGCCCAACATGGGCTTGTCAGGAGTAAGCATACCATTGAAGACATCCATTTCGATGCTTGGTATTACTATCAGCAATAACCTTCCTTGGGAAAATCACGCGAGATCAATTGCTACAAGTGTATCCCAAAAAATTGGTTTTCTGTTTCGGGCCAGGAGCTATTTCACTTCCAGTCAGCTGCTTATGATCTATAAGGCACAGATCTGACCCGTCCTGGAATTCTGTTCTCATATTTGAAGTGCAGCATCCAAACATACCCTGAAACTGTTGGATTCTGTCCAAAAAAGGGCAATTCGTTTCGTGATGGGTGATGCCTCGCTCACAAACTCACTCACTTCTCTGGAACACCGTAGAAAAGTTGACAACCTAGCTCTATTTTATAGATATTGTCATGGACGATGCTCTACTGAAATATCAACAATTGTTCCCCCCTTGGCAGTACCCACGAGATTAAACCGTCGAGTTGAGGCTTCGCGCCCCTTCGTGGTCATTTTGGAGACCTGCAGAACATCTCTTTCCAAAGGCTCGTTCATCCAACGAACAGCGAGGCTCTGGAACACATTGCTAAGGGAGGTGTTCCCCGAGGTATATAACCTCCAGAAATTTAGGAAGAACACCAATTCCTTCCTTATTTCCCTTGGTTCTCACGATGTTCTCTGAACATTACAGGATATCCCTTTTCGTGGGAACCAGAACATACAAAAAAAATTCAGATGAAGATTTTGATAAAAAGGCTGTGACCCATCTCGTTTGGATGGTCCATTTTTTGACACTTGTTGAACCATTTGGAATGAGATATTATATCACTGATCATTTTTAAAATTCGAATACTTCAATTGGAAAAACACAAACGCCATTCAAATGTGCATAATACTGAAATAGTAGTGACGAAGCATGAATACATTCTTTGTGATAAGATATGCTGTGATACTTTAAAAAACACCACTTGAATACCATAAAATTTCCAGGAACGTTTCAAACATAGCTTTTGGCGGCACACTCATCTAGCCAGTACTGACGTTATGAGACCTTTTCCTGGGTTGCCAAGTGTTCTATTTCAAGGGAATATCAAGTAAATATTTCTTAAATCTCGAATCCAAGTGTAATCTGATGAGATGATAAAATGATGAATGCATCAATGTAGTGAATGTTACTAATAACTCTATTGCCAACTCTACAATTCCATATATCTGATATAAACACTAGCAAATAATAAAAGCCGAATTAATTCTTCGTCCTTTTATTATGATCGATCAACTCGATCAGAATTCTGATTCTTGAACCACCCTGTATCTGTTCCGATTAAATATCAGTAAATAGTGAATCAAAAGTTGAGATACGGATATGTGAGACGTTTTGGCCAATAATGAATAGTTTTGACACAAAAAATCCTAAAGTTCAAAAATCTAGAATTTGAACACCCTATATCTCTGTAATCATTTTCGATAGACCCCAAGTGTGATATATCGATGAAATCAACTCTTCAGGGAGAATCTAAAAATGCGATGAAATACAGGGTGTTACATTCGAAATATCAATGTTGCTACTACTTTCTAGTAGAAGCGGCAACGCTGCATTGTCGAATATATTTTAAATGAAGAGAGCTAGTGTATTCTAAAAAATAAGCATGCACATTTTCATGGATTTCTCCCGACTGATTCTCGATATAAAGATAGTGAAAGCTCGTCCTGACATATCCTGTATGTATCACTGAAACAATTAGCTACGATTGTGATGAATATCCTGAAATCACGGTATTTCGTCATCAATGATTGAACCGCATGCATCTTATGTTTCTCCTTATTAGGTCTTACTGAGGAACTTTTCAATTGAAATTATCTCTTGATTGCATCCTGAATATTATTTGATGTCATACTATTTGTTTTCTCTGTCGTATGATATTGAACAAATTTCTGTTTTCTCTTTTTCTCAGTGTATGTATAACTTGAACACTGTTATATTAATAATTCATGTATTTGTTCGAACCAATTTGCTTGTAATGAGGATTCCTCTTTAGATACAATAAATGTCATTGAATTGAATATCATAATTGGTCACAATGCAGTTTATACTGTTTATACTATATTAATAAAAACAAATGAGTCTCGAACTGTCAGTTCATCTATGGCATTGTCGAATAATTGCTCAAATGAGTTGAATTTTCAAATGTTAGAACCAATGAATTTTAAAAAATGTCTACTAGCTAAATGGATCAGTTGAGACGGCAAAGCTGTTAACTACACCAGAGATTATAATAATCTCTGACTACACTAAAATATTGATAATTCTCTTTCAATGAACGGCCAGCGCTTTATAGTACTTGCATAGATGTTCAAACGAAAGTATTTCTTAGGAATTTATTTTGGGACACCTTCAGAGGGTGATGGTGAATTCGGTCCCAGCAGGTAGCAGATTGAATTAAAAATTGTATACCCTTTTATCGGTGAGTAAATTCGGTCCCAACCATGTCAATTGGTAGGGGTTTTACAATAATTGCTTGCATAATCAATTTAGGTCAGATTGTTAAGAAGAAGTCTCCTTAAGCAGAAAGGTAGTTTTTCTTCCTCATATTATAACCTACTTACATACCGATATAATATATTAGGCCGAGTTAGGTCAGATTGTTTAGAAAAAAAGTCTCCTTCTTATCCAGAAAGGATATTTTCCTTCATCATATATAATAACCTACATACGTATATAATATATTAGGCCGAGTTAGGTCAGATTGTTTAGAAAAAGTAGTCTACTTCTTATGCAGAAAGGATATTTTCCTTCTTCATATTATAACCTACTTACATACGTATATAATATATTAGGCCGATTTAGGTCAGATTGTTTCAAAAACTAGCCTCACAAAACAATTTACCTGGGACCGAATTTACCTATATGCAGTATCAGGTAAAACAAAGTTTGGGACCGAATTTACACCTAATAATTCTTGGGACAATTTACATATACCCCTTCTAGATAAAAAAATCTCTTTATTTTTCTTCATCATGAACGTCATGGTATTTTTTCTAGAATTCTCCCTACAATCAAATTTATTCCAGTGCAGTTTTTTAATAAACGAAGTTTTGGTACCTATCCATAAATAGAAAGTTTGTGGAAGGTATAGTATACAGGTGATACAAAAAGACCCCTCTCAGAAAAGACGAAAGAAAAATATAAAGAAAAGACAAATCGACAAATTTAACTATGAGCAAACATGAAATTCTACCAGAGATTAAATCGAAATTAGCTGAACATATCCTTACTGAAAAGACACACCATTTGGTAGTGGAATAACCTTCAAATCAGAGAAAAAGAAGAAGAAAAATCGATCTGTTTAAGAAATGGGCGATAGTCAAAATATTCTTCATCATCATAATTAAAATTATATATCCCATAATAATTATATCTGTACACTTCCTGTTGTACTTGGCCAAGACTCCGGCCTCTGGTCATTTTTATCTTTGCCAAAAAATATTGAGACTGGGCGCTAGCCAAAAAATGTGCTTACTTTCAACCGGACGTTATTTTTCAGTTTTGGTTAGCCTCAGCTGAAAAATGTATTTTTTTATTATAACCAATGTAATGAGCAGTTTATTAGAGCGAATCAGATGAAACAGATTCATTACCAGTCATAAATAATAATTCAGCAACGAATTGAGAATCACCTGTATTAAAAAAACTTGTAGGTATACATCGTATATTCAATCATTTTTAATAGGCTTTATATTAGGCAGGTGTACATAATTCGCAATGGAAAATAAGCGTACGCCACCTATCGGAGTTCTTGAAAGCTGTCAAAGCGGCCTGTTTATTTTTTTTCATTGGTTCACATTTGTTTTCTGTTTATGCTTATTGGTCATATCATCAAAACAAATCGTGTTCAAGTTGTTGCCGTCAGATGGAGTGACGTGATATTTTTCATCGCGAATTCTGGTGACAATGCATCATGACATTTTTGTTAGATAAAAAAACAAAATGGCGGCTCTAAAATCGCCGACGAGTTTTTCATTATGGTCCGCTTTTATTCAAAATTTGTATCTAGGAGTTTTCGGGGTCGGAGATTCTGATTCTTTCGTCAAAATTTGGAAATTCAAGATGGCGGATCCAATATGGCGGACGAGTTTTGTGATTATGATCCGATTCTATTCAAAATTGGTAACTGGAGGATTTTGGGGTCGGAGAATATGATTCTTTCGTCAATATTGGGAAATTTCAGATGGTACATCCAATATGGCGAACGAGTTTTGTAATTATGATACTATTCAATTCAAAATTGGTAACTGGGGAATTTCAGGCTCGGAGATTATCATTCCTTATTCAATATTGGGGAATTCAACATGGCATATTCAATATGGCGAACGAGTTTTGTAATTATGATCCGATTCTATTCAAAATTGTTATCTGGGGTTTTCGGAGTGGAAGAATTTTGAGGTTTTCATTTCTTCTTCTGATTCTCTATTTCCTATTCAGAGGCTCACAAGCGTTAGTCGAGTACTTATCAAATACATTCACTCCATCTTCAGCTTTTGCCATCTTAAGAATTATTCATCAATGTATTTTGGAAATGATGATGATCTGAACCGTTCTTGGGTAGTGATGGATATGAACTTACGTCTAACATAAAAAACAACTGAATTCGTTCAAACCAGGAGTAGCAATGCTTTTATGTTGCTGAACTTACAGAAAAAAATTAATCCAAACTTGCACTAAATTTACGGCGGTGCTTTAATTTTCCTTCAGCTTGTGTCATCAAAAAATGAAATTCTTCAAGCGATTTATACAGAATAATTCATTTGAGAAACATACATTCTTCCTATATGTTCAACAGTTTGACATTTCCAGTTCTAAATCGAAGCACTCTTGATAATGACCCATGTCGCAATTCAACATTGAATCTGGAAATATTTTTGGCCGTCGAAATTTTTGCGACTTTGGCGGAGGTTCGCATTGGGGCAGAGCCAAAACATATTCGCATTATGACGTTATCTGGCAATAACCATTTTAAGGCTGTTATCCTTTCCACTAAAATTTACTTTGTACCCGGCATAATTACCTATTCAATAATGTGTATTTTTTTCTCTTGAAGATACCATTATTAGTGACCATGCTATGATCAGTCCAGATGATTTTCATCTTCATCTTCAAAATCTTGACAACAGAATGTCCTGCGCCTTTCGTCATCGCCTGGTCTTAGCGCTTGACATATTATGAATTTGTATGGATGGAATTTTTGTTTCCGCAAAATGAAATGGGTTGTTGATTGGAACCAGTTGATGAGGTATAAGTGTGATGACTAATTTTCTTTTAAAATAAGTGGAACTGATGGCATTTTTCCTTTGGAATTTCCAAAAAACATTGATGATGGCTAAAAAATAGGTCGAAACACATACCAACCACCTTGTATAATACATGGTTGAATTCAAAATGAAAAAAAGCTTTCAGAATCTGTGAAAAAATTATCAGGACCGTATTCAAAAAACAAAAGTTGATGATAATTCTACGAATACGAAACGTCGCATGAAAAAATCGGTATCACCACGTTGAACGTCATCAAAAGTTGCCATGAAAAAGTATTTTCAGTTTTTCTGTATCTCTAATAATAACGGAGAAAAAAAAATAGATATTTCAAAAATTCATTTTTTTCGATATAACTGAAAAACTAAAAACAATTTTGAAAAGTTTCGAAGGCTGTTGGTATGAGCATCCGAATGCGCAACTTTTTCCCGATTTAACCGACTTCGTATCTCCTACCGTTTCCGAGATTCCCATGCTGTGCAACCTTATCTTGGACCGACTGTATAGAGTAGTAGATATATGTTTCGAAAGAATGCTCAAATACGGTGTAAATTTCACGAAGTGTACGAATGTGCTACACTTTTCGTACAAATGAAAGGGCCTACTATCTAGTATCTAGGAGTTAGATCCCCCCTCGAAGAGAGTACCCAACCTGGAATACTGCAATTTCGAAATCCATTGGAATAATTAGAATATTCTTGATTAAAACTAGAGTCACTGGATGGTATTATAGTTAGATAAATTGAAACTACCGTTTTATATACATAAATTATTTTGTTTCAGGATTCTGGTTTGAAATCAAAGGTGGCACTGTTCGACAAAGTAGCTGACAAACATGTTCAAAAACAGGCGATAAATCCTTTTTCAAATGGAAAACAGAGTGGTAGCTTACCAAGGCCGTCATTTTCCAAAGAAGAGTATGGAAAGTGAGTGAACACTTATTTTCCTACGCCAAACACGCCAAAAACTAGCAAAAGACATCACCATCAACGACACCAACCGTGCAAGCACTGCAAGCAAAAACTGTATTCAGAAATTTCATATTCAAACACAACTGTCATCTGTCACTTGTACAATTTTCAAGGCGCAATATTTTCAATTTTGACGCAACTACTCCAGGGGCGGCACACGTTATATTTTGAGATAATAATTTCGCACCCTAGAAAATTATCGATTTTTTAATCCTTTCCAACCCAGTTTGATACGACCCTGAATAGGTATAATGGTGAAACTGCATTTATCATGCAATGGTTTTTTTTCGAAAAATTTTTTTTGTACTTACGTATTTTTGTCTGAAAAACACGAATTTGATAATGAAAATGTGAACAAACCATTATTCATTGAGATATTTTACTATAAAGTTACAAATTTCACCTTCTTTTCCTCCTGTCTTTTGGATCGCATTCAGAACAATTTGCCCTTCTTTTTTTACCATTAGACAATTTATACAGGGTGTTTCATGAGAAGACTCACATAGCCGAATGGTTAATAGGAGAAATCAAGACGTGTTGATGTATATATATATAAAAACATTTTTTGACCCTCCATAACGAATATGGACAGGGTATTATGTGAAATTGTTATATAACTTTGATGGTCGATATTGCAGAAATGATTCGTCGTAATCTGCTGAAATTTGGCAGCGACGTATCTCTACCGAAACAATTCATGATAACATATTATAAAAAAAATATATCCAGGTCCGTACTTGGGAAAATTTTATGTTTCATTGTTATGTCAAAAAAGTTCACTTTGTGACCACTTTTCTCGAAAAATTCAGAAAGATCAGACAAAATGCTGTGAGAACTGCTCTTGAATTCACACGGCACACTTTGACCGGTTCAATAAAAAAATATGGAACAAAATCGTTCGAATGAATTCCAAATTTCGACCTGGCTGATAACTGTCAACTTTCAACTAGTATCATGTGAATTGATTTTTTCTACATTTTTGTTGAATAGTAATTGACTGAAAAATAGACGAGGAGAAAAAACACGATATTCTTTATCGAAATTCCAGATAGATATTATTATTCCTGACTTTGTTTTATGGGTGTCGCTTGTGTGACGAGATGTAACGTTTGTTGATAATCCGAACTGATAGATAGGTACTAGGCTAGTACTAGGTAGGTACCAACTGATGGAATTACGACATGAGGATTCATGTGCCCATATTATGGTGATTTATCAAATTAGTTATACCATCACGCATGAACTTAGCTTCATTTTCTGTTATTGATACTCTTCTGCAAGTGATATAAGGATGCATTTGCTATTTATTCAGAATTCCTTATGTTCATCCTCGTGAAGGTTTTACTGGAACGTATTCTTGGGCCTGGAAATATTCTATGGTATTAAACATAGCATGGCATTTGAACGTTCGTCTTGTTCAGCATTTGGAATATGAAGGGCCACTTTATAACATATTTATAAAATAGAACCACGAGTAATCATATCTATCTAGAAGTTCGGTCAAAAAATAATATGTCTAATCATAAAACAATCAGAACTAATCTCTCCTGTCAATTTCTATCCAATAAAAAAGTACCTACAAAGAAATCAATTTACACGAATCCAGTGAAAAGTTGAGAGTTATCAGCCAGGTCGAAATTGAAAATTCATTCGAACGTTTTAGTTCCATATTTTTTTATTGACCCCGTCAAAGTGTGCCGTGTGAATTGAAGAACAGTTCTTATAGCATTTTGTCTGATCTTTCTGAATCTGATGGAATTTTTCGAGAAAAGTGGTCACAAAGTGAACTTTTTCGAAATAACAATGAAACATTAAATTTTCCCAAGTACGGACCTGGATATTTTGTTTCATAATATGTTATCTTGAATAGTTTCAGTGAAGATACGTCGCTGCCGAATTTCAGCAGATTACGACGAATAATTTCTTTAATATCGACCATCAAAGTTATATAGCAATTTCACATAATACCCTGTATGGAGTTATGGAGGGTCAAAAAATTTTTTCATATATATACATCAACTCGTCTTGATTTCCCCTATTAACCATTTGGCTATGTGAGTCTTCTCATAAACACCCTGTATAAATTGTCTAATGGAAAAAGTCGCCTGCTGATGATTCGGAATTATTGTTTGATTTTTTCTATTAAATTGAAATATGAGGTGTGTAAATTCTCAATATCCGATCTTTTGTTAACACATTTTGTTCCATGTTTTGTTATTTCAATCATTTCGGACACCCTGTATACCAACCTAATAGGTAATTGCTTTTTTGCAGACCACCTAAAGGATCGCTTTCAGAAGAGAGAGCGTTCAAAGCGACGATACATGTTAGCAGGGAAATGATGGAACTGTGTGAAATCATAAACCAATGTGGCGAACGCCTCTTCACACCAGAAGAAAAACCAGATGACCCCCGGAAGGTTATAAGCTTTGGGGAACTTTTCTCAGTAAGTATCGTAATTTGGGGCTGCAATTCGAAATTAGAATATAGACGATTTTGTCCTAGTGAAGTTTAGATGCCCCAAAAATAAGTATATACAGGGTGGTCCGTCATTTAATACGGAAAATTCAAGAGCCTATAGTACTCGTTGAAATAATGAATAAACTTCCTATGAACATATAAAACGCTTTGTTTTCGAGATATAGGGTGTTCAGGTTTCTTTACAAAATCGATTATTTATTGATTTCTCAGAAATGCTATAACCGATTGTGATGAAATTCACATCTATTGTGGAAATATCAATGAGCTAACTTTTAGACCTATTACAGTTCATGAATAAGTTACATATTTTCAGGGGCGTGCATTTCAAAATACATGTTTTTTGGACTTTTAGATTTCTTATCTAATAGCTTCGTTTCAGAAGGAAAAATAAAAACCAAACCTATGCATGTCTCTAACCCCAATGAAAGAAACATTGTAATGCATTAAATCTAGTTAGCATTGGCCGTTTACCAAACGTGAGTGAGTATTGATAAAGACTCGTGCATTATGTACCCTTCTCCTGGGGAAGCGATTCCTGTATTCCCGAACTGCTGCCTCTGCGTTTTCATTACAAAATCCGTAAACAAAATGAATATCTGCATACTCTTCAGTACTAAATCCCATAGGCATATTGACAAACGGCAAAATTGGAATAAAATTATTACACTTTTTGATAAAAACACGGAATAACTCCAGTTTGCTATTTCTTTGACAGAACTTTCAAAGTGACAGCACATATAAACAGTGAACAGTGAGCAACTGAGCATAGCCTACTTCTTTAATTGATATCAAGTAGTATTATTTAACTAAAAAATGTTATAAAAAATCTTACAAGCGAGCTTTTTTCATTGAAACTTGAAATATGAATGAAAAATAATTACCCGAAAAATTTGTGTAATTATTACCTTTGCCACCCCAGATTCAGCCGCCACTGGATAGTTTTTATGAATAATTCTTATTTAATCTAATAAAGCTCAAAAAGTTTAGTATATGTGAAAAATTTCGTTGATTTATCTACCGTTTCTAACTTTTGATTAAAAAAATATATTCAGAAGCGTATTTTTGACACCCAATATCTCAAAAACGAAGCGTTTAAAAGTATATGTTCATAGGAAGTTTTAGTATTAGTTATTATTTCAACGAGTACTATACGCTGTTAAATTTTCCGTATTAAAAAACGGACCACCCTGTATATTACATTGGCAAGATCACGGAAATTTTCGATAATCAGCCTGATTTTATCTTGATAAATTTCCTGAGACAAAAAAAAATGAAAAAATTGGTAAGTATTTCCACAATCCAGATATTAAGGACGAGTCTCTGTGAATACAGAAGACATCATAATGAAACTTAAACCACCAACGGATCTAAGAAGAAACAGGTGGACTTTTAAAACATTGCCAAAAATTATATTATTGGATAAGTTATTCGTCATATTTCATTTTGAATTCATATTTTAGAAATATTTTTTTTTATATTCACTTTCTTCTCGCTGAATATTCATTTTGATGAATACAGTATTGTTTCAATTACCATTTCAGTTTCATTGATCTCGAGTTTTTTTTGGGGGACTTTTCAGCACATATCTGACAATCTGACAGATTTTTTTTTTCTACAAAAATTGTTCGAATTAATCCTTGAAGGACCGAAATTCGAATTTTTATGTAAATTAAAGCTCTGTTCCAAGCGACTCCAAACATAGGGGTGAATTTAAAAAAATTAAAAAAAAATTACAACATACCTACCTACAACATGAAATATTTCAAACACGTTTATTCTCATCATTCTAAATTTTTCCCGCTCGATAGTTATATAGCCAAAAAACCGTTGGAATTCACCCAAAATTACGGTACATCCGTATAGATCTAAGCGTATAACCATAGATCTAGTGTAATTAGATCTATGGTATAACCTAAAGAACTTGATATATGTGGGTACATCCAAAGCTCGATCCAAAGGGTATATCCGGAAGTGAGATATGATGCGCGTATTCGGCCATTATTACGTATTGAAAATTTCATAAAAATCACTCCACCGCCTACTATGATTTCTCTACGTCACAACGAGCGAGACGTTGATTCTACATTTTCCCGCTAGATGGTGATGCTGCTATTGCTGCTTTGTTGCTGCTGTGACGAGTGGAAATAAAATGGCAAATGGCATTTTAGGTACGCGGAACATAATATGTAACAGTGGGATTATTCAACACTGAATTCGGAAAATATGCGACAATTTCGAAACTGACAAATCTCATAATTCAAGGTTGGTAGAACTGATTATAATTTGTATACAAAATAGTCATCAGTTCTACCAACCTTGTCATAATTGTGCAATGTCGCCATCTATTAGAAGATCGACGGAACCATTGCTCTCACTGTTCTCGAGAGGTCGAGTAAAATTTCTGAAACAAAAGCGCATCAGTAATTACACCATATCTTACTTCCATCAATATCACACACCAGGGAGGTGCTCTAGATTATAGCATGGTGGAAATAAAATAGGTTATAGTTCTGTAGGTGCTATGTATGTCTTGTTTACTATATTCACAGGACACCTGCTCTCAAGAGCAGCACTGTTAATTTGAAGTATTTGAAAGCAACAGTGAATATTGTAAGCACCCTACATCAGACACAAAATCTTGTAGATTTTTGGCTCTTGAAAATGTCTAAAATAGAATTTCAAATGCCACATGGAAGTATTCAAAATGTAATGCATTTTCTTATGATATTCAGCTAAATATGTCATAAGGTTTCAGTTAGGACCTCCCTGTTCCTAAGGTGTTCAAGTCAAGATACAGGTTTATGTTTATATTATAGTTATTTTTTCAATAATGAACTCTGCATAGAGCTTGGAATAGTCGTCTAAATAACTCGTGTATGGTGTATTTCACATATTAAAAATAAAATCAGTGTACCTCTATTATCTATATAATATTATCCTCTGAATATTGTTTCCAACTTCACTCACTACTTAAAATAATGTTACATATTGAGCATTTACTGAGACGAACCAAACACCAAGTAAAAAACTGAGTCAAAGAGTGCATATAAACCCCACATTTTTTTTAACGGCATGGTATAAACTCTAACTATATATTATAACTGATAAGATATCTATACGGAAAACAGTAACGGATGACGGACGCTTAGCCACTTCGTAAAATACACTACTCCACATTATTATGTTCAAATTCCCAGAATATTATTATTACTAAATGGCTATTTTTTCTTTCAGATATACACTGCCATATCAGATAAAGTTGTGGGCATCCTTCTACGGGCCCGAAAATATAACTTGGTCGACTTCGAAGGGGAATGTTTATTCCAGGTAGGTACAAGTAAAAAATTGGTAGTGTTGGTACTCACCTCTCTACAATTCCTCCTTGAACACTTCACAGGAAAACTGAACTGGGTACACTTTTCCTTGTCCAGTCATTCGAGAAAAATTCGAATGATTTCATTCACCAACAATCTTTGAATAAACAATAACAAAAAACAAAAAGTGACGTTAAACTTATAATACAGTGTGCTGTGGACGCTGTGGTGTGCAGTGTAGAGCAAATTCAGTGTTGCCACTTGCCAGCTGCTGAACATAAAATGTCGCACAAAGTTACGAAAAAAACCGCTAGAAGTCGCCCGAGCAAAAAGCCCGCCGCAGGCGAAATTGTTGAAAATTTAGCGATTCTTTTCCGTGATTCAGCGACATTTTTGATCATCTTTCCTTATTTCCAGACAGGTTTTAACATCAGATGAAAAATCGTGGAAACCTTTTTTATTCAGAATAAAAATGAAAAACATCAAAAATATGTGTGCATGCAGAAGTCCATAGTGCTCAAAACCGCTGAGACGGCAACCCTGCAAATTCATTCAACATTCAATCCTACCCAGATAGAGTACGCCACCTTCTAAAAGCTGACAAAGCGGTCTGTTTACATGTTTTTTTGTTTGTGATTGTGCCTCAGAAGTGTTCAAGCATCGTTAATCTATGGTTCAAGCGTTGATTGATATATTACGTTACCCAGCGTAAGCGTAATATATCAATCAACGGTTCAAGTGTTGCTGGTGGGGCGACGTGCAATTTTCTATCAAAGGTTGGTAGAATAGGTGATTAGGGATAATCATCTATTCTACCAACCCTGCTTTTCTATCGCCAATAATCGGGCTTTTAGACTTTAGACCAATCACAATGTGAAAAGCACAACACATTAAACACTTTTCACATACCTCAAGTTTTAAATAAGCGATTGGTGCAGTGAGTTGCATTTCAGATTGCCACTCCTGACTCTTGGGGAGCCAATTTCAATCCCTGCGGTGGCCATTGTTACACAAAATGACGCGTTTCCTAACTGCATACGTAAATATCATTGGAATATATCGCCAAGGCCAAAATCGTTCTGATTGGTCTGAAATTCCAACTATGGACCGTTTTGGGTAGGATTGAATTCGTGCGGTGATGGGCGATAGTTGTAGTTTATCTAACTATACCATTTAGTGACTCTACACCTTCGTCAATTGTAATTCAGAAAGTATAAGTTGTAACTCAGAATAGTTAATTGTAATTCACAAAGTATAACTTGAAATTCAGAATAGTTCACTGTAATTCAGAAAGTGTAATATGTAATTCAGATTAGTGAAATGTTTATTCAGGGAGTGTAACTTGTGATTCAGAATAGTCAATTGTAATTCAGAAACCGTCAATTGTATTTCAGAAAGCATTACTTGTCATTCTGAATTACAAATTACGCTTTATGAATTACAATTGACTATTCTGAATTACAAGTTACACTCTCTGAATAACATTTCACTAATCTGAATTACATGTTATGCATTCTGAATTACAATTAATTGAATAATCTGAATTACAGTTGACGCTTTCTGAATTACAAGTTACACTTTCTGAACTACAATTTAAAAGGGTGTAGTTATGATCATACCGATTAGGGCCAATCGGGGCTAATAAACCAGAAGTGCCTAAATCTTTCGAACCATTCCCATCACGTGATATGTTGAGATACGTGTTTTCTGATGATTATTCCAAATCTTTGATTATTCTGTCTTTCATTGTTAACTAAATTAATTGTATTGCCGTACAGCAATGCCACTCGTCGTCAGACGGACTCGTGCTCGGCAACACAATTTCGTGAACAGTGAAGCGACAGAATTTTCTAGAATATTCTGAACATCATTACTTATGGCACCCTAGTGTAGCTCTTCAAGGGTACGATTGGTATAGATTTCAATTTTCAAGTATTCAACGGCCTTCTTATAGAGGTTGAATCTCATAACACATTCCATACACCAAATATCCTTATTATTGGTCGAATAAATCACGTGATACGCCCAAATCAGTAATATGGAGATTGGGGAATGGGGAGCCATGACCACCAACGGCCCAAAGTATCACGAAAGTTGTGACCGATAAGGATATATATGGAATACGGTTTGTGATTTAGCGTATCCAAGATGATTTTTTGTTTCTAAAATGATTTTTTGTATCTCAAATGATTTTTGTTTTAGAGAAAGGATGATCATGTACCTATAATCCTGTTGAAACCTATAGCAGAAGTGAGAAAATTTCTTCAAGAAAGGATAGACACCGCAACTAAATCATTGGTTGAAAGTGGAGCAATTTATCATTGATGAAATTCTAAATACCTATCTCATAAGATTAATTATACGGACCATAATACAAAATTTCCATGCATGTTAAAAGTTCGATGAATTTCTTATATTTTTATCATAGATATTATTTTTATCAAAAAATTCCTATAAGTGTGTAAATATACAATCTAGTGATATAGAATATAATATAGTTCTTATATCGTTTTCCACTAAACTGAAATTTTGGTTTCTTGAATAATTACACGTGATAAATAAAGACAAAAAATATTCAGTGCGAAAAAAGTTAAAGTATATAGTGCTATGAGTGGAGAACGCTATTATAGTAATAGGTATATATGGTTGTGAAGTGAAATTTCAGAAATTTTCGGCAAATAGATTTTCATGTACGGCGTATGTATTAGAAATATTGAAAATTTGCAGACTTTTCAGAGAGGGAAACAAAATAGGGAAAAATTAATTGCAATATTGTACATTATCATTATCACATTCACGGAAAACTTCTAATGATAACTTTGTATATGTAGAGGGATACAATTTGAATGCGAATGATGGATACCTAGCTGTCATTTTCGAAGGATGTTCATGACGATAAAAAGTCAAATTCTGATTTCAAAACAACATAAAATTAAAATTCAAAAGAAGATCATTGTATTATTTTGTGTGTTCCCCACATTTTGCCTGATATCATTATGTGCTGCTATATCATATGTATTTAAGTCTAATATCATTATTGGCCTTATATATGCCTCATGTTCGCATTACACCGGTACGCCACTGGGTACCTCGAAATCATCTTAAATAATTATCAAGATAACATTGGATAACATAGACCTTTTTTCAGCGTTGCCACAGCTCGCTCGATTGAGCGAGATCTCGCTCATTTCGTCAGTAGTTCACTCTCTCGCTCCTCTTTGTCAAATCTCGCTCGTTTTCACCTCAGCTAGTAGGCCATACAGATTGGGCGCAATATAAGATAACAGAGTTTATATTTTTTCAAAGCTCAACCATATTAGCATTAGCATAGATGGCCTTAGCACAAGTGATAAATTTAATGTTTCTACAAAGAATGATGGAAATAAGTAGATGGTGCGCGTACTCGGCCATTTTTACGTAAGAAAAATCACTCGACCGCTCAATATGATTTCTCTACGTTTCATCGGGTGGGACTTTTTTCCGCTAGATGGTGATGCTGCTATTCGCGATAGAAAATAAGTGTACGCCACCTATCGAAGTTCATGAGAGCTGTCAAAGCGGCATGTTTACTTTGTTTCCATTGGTTCACATTTGTTTTTTGTTTGTGCTTATTGGTCATATCATCAAAACAAACCGCTCAGAAGTGTTCAAGTTGCTGCCGTCAAGTGGGGGTGCTGTGTTATTTTCCATCGCGAATTGATGCTGTGACGAGTGAGACGAGTGAAAAAAATGGCAAATGGCAATTTAGGTACGGGGAACATAAGTGAAAGTGGGTTTATTTCACTCAAAATTCGGAAAATCTGCGGCAATTTCGAAATTGACAGATGGCATAGCTGTGTAATGTCACCATCTATTAGAAGATCACCGAAACCATTGTTCTCGAGAGGCCGAGAAGAATTGCGCATTAGTTCTGCTTATTTTCATCATTCTACAAACTAAACATTCGACCGGATTGCCCTATAAACTAAGGTCCCTTCAAAGATCATAATTAGGTTGCATGATTCTCCTTATTGAATCAACAAGGGATCAACTCTTAACTCTTGTAACGTAACTCTTATTCGATTAGTTGATCATGCTTTGTCATGAATAATTCGATGAAGAGTTGAGCTATGCTCTGATGAATGGATCAATATTCAAAAAAAAAAAATAAAAAACAAGGAAAAAATTCAAATTTTCATTTAAATATTCATTTATGTACCTACATATAAATGTGTTCTGAGTTAATATTCATTCAGCTCATCAACAACAAAATCTCGCTCTCAGAGTCAAGATCTAGCTCGTTTTTGACAGCGTAGCTCGCTCGAAAAAACATTTGTCAGTGGCAACACCGAGACCAACATAATTTTGGTTTTGGTGAAAGTTGGGACGAGGTTGGGGCTGTTGATGGGAGTTCGAATTTTGCTGTGGATTCCTAATACGTGAACAACACAACAGTCAAATATCTGATGAAAAAAATATTATCTTGATTATATTTTCTCCATATGATTTCAAACCAATTATCAGAACGTTCAATTGGGTTAAGCTACTTTGTATAATTGCGAAATACATAGATTAACTCCGGCAATCAGGAATTTAGAATCATTTCCATAGTAACCATAATTCATATTGTTACATACAAACAAGTCGCGTGGTAAAATAATCGCATTGAATACAACTCGAACTTCAAACTATTTATGGTTATACATCTCAAACTTCCTGCATAATTACAAATCGTGTCAGTTCAACAGAATAATCCTTCCTCTTCGCAGTCGAATTATTTCAGCTGTCAAACTGAAACTCTGTAAATACAATGAACTCAATATAGTATTGAGTTCATTGTGTAAATATGCAACAAGCTAATGATGTATAACCCGAATACTTTGAAGTACTTATAACATTATTACTACTTATCCACTTTGTTTTATAATCCCTCTTACCCAAACTCTCCTTGACCGCTACTACTGTCACAAGTCACAAGATGGTTACTATAGATGTCACTAGTGTCAATAGAAGAATATTAGTAATGATTTTGTTTTGGTTATGTTAGAAGGATTAAACAGGTCCCTATTTTAGTCCAGGTATTCGACACAACTTGAACAATTTTTATATTTTACATCTTCCATAGGTGAGCTCAGAACCATAACCACGACTAGAACCCATCATCGCCTAAAGGTATGCGTACATACATGATTGTACGAATTTTGCAAAATTTTTGCGAATCACAAAATATGAAATTCCCAACAGAATTCGACGTTCATACTCATGCCTTCCTTCATTTCCGGTCCCACCATTGATAGAAGTTCATCAAATTGAAGGCACGTTACACGAAAGTAATTGAAATATTTATTTTCATTTCATTTAGTCGTATTTATCGAACGAGGCAGTAATAATCTCCATAAATTTTTCGGCATTTGGAAATGCTTCGAACACTACAACAGCTCCTTTTTTGCGCCTGGATACATCATTAGCTCTATAGAGACGATACAAATGGTAGGTAATTAAAATTAATTCGTCCGGAGAAATCATCCTGCGAAGAAAATTTAATCAAATGAGGAAATGATGAAATTTATAATTATAATTCTCTGTATTCTAGAGTGTCTAGTCTCGTCTTTTTTCGGTATCTGCTGTCCGCTCCCTAATTCCCCAATTTTGATATGGAAATAACACATTTAATGCATATTGTGTGGGTATGATTCCATCCAAATTTGTGAAAAAGTTCAAATATTTAAACTTCATTGCGATATTCGCGGTCGCCATTTTATTCGCATAAATTTTGCGGAATTCGTACAGGCATGAACATATACAGTCGTATTCAATAAAATAGCGTACAAGTATCAAAAAGAGAGGATTTCGGGATCCTAGTTCTAGTTGTGTTAAACTGGGTCAGCCAACGCTTTGTGTTTTTGAGAACCTATGACAACTTTACTGTCAACATTTGGTAAACAATCATTCCCGATAGCCCATTTTATGCAGAATAGGGTGACGTTGATTTCTCTCTGTAATATACTTGTACGTTTTTCTTGAATGCGACTGTACCTTTTCGCCTATAAATTCGAGGAATGGAAGAGGGCCCCCCTCGATGGCTACGCCACTGGTTACTAGTGTCAGATGGTGTCAGTGTCAAATGTCGTCTTAAGTCATAGTCAAAATCAAAAACCTGTTGCACTAATAAATAATTTCAAAAATATTATTTCTTATTTCCGAAAACGTTCTGCAATGTTCTCCGGTTGTGATTCGAAACATTTTGGATTTCACTATTATTATGATTTTGTTTCATTAGGAGAATTCTAGACCTTGCACGTTGGCGATCATCTTCAACCATTAATTTGATGGAAATAATCTACAAATAAAAGGTTTCTTTGACCATGGCTGGTTTTCAATATGATCCCGCAATTGATTTCAAAAACATTGCGTTCACTAAGTCGGATTTAGAGGTAAGTACTTATTCTTATCTATAAACAAACATACTTCTCTACTTGATGAAAAACACCTACCTAATCATTCTGTGAATGAAAAAGCACCACCAAATTCTCCATAACATAATGAATATGACTAGAGTTATGAGTACTTACATGTTCATGTTTATCTTTATAGAACCTACTCCCGCATTGGAATACAAGAATAAAGGAGATCTATCAGTACAAAAAAAACAATGCCATAGAAATACAGTTTCTTATTGCTGCAAAGACTGTGAGTGAGGTCAAGCAGTGGCTAAATGAATATGAGGAGAAAACAAAATGCACATACTCAATTCGATCTACTGACAAATGTTCAGGAACAAAGGTGAGGTTGAAACAAAAGCTCAATTGCCGGCACAATACCAGAACCAGGGACAAATCCAAAAGATCAAGAAATACTAATTGCCCTTCATCCATCCATATAACTTTGAGAGCAATACCAAGAAAGTACAGAGGAATAGACAAGACAAATGCACCAGACCCTGATATGCCTTGTTTAATCAAGTTGATTCCAAATCATAATCATCCAACTTCTGGTGCTGAAGCCTTGAGGTATAGGCGGGTGAGTGATGAAACTAATGACAAATTAATTAACCTATTTGAAGCTGGACACTCACCTTCAAGTGCAATTGAATCTCTCAAAATGGAAATCAAGATGAGATGTGACTATGATGATATTCTTGCTGACAGAAGTACTTTTCCTGATTATTCATACTGCTATCATTTGTACAAGAGAACATTCAATGAAAAATATGTGCCAATGGAAGTATCCCATGAGTTTTTGGAGAAAAAAGTTGAAAAATTCAATGAAGACAACAAGGTTAAAAGTGCAGGGATTAAATTCATAGATGATGACTATGTGATATGGTGAGTATGCATGTCTCCTTGCTTTTGTACCTATTTTTATATACCTTAATATACAAGGTGGCTCATTGATAATTATTGTACATAAGCTTACTGGCATTGAAACTAGGGCAAACTAGAGAAACCTTGGCCAAAAGGTATAATAAATATATAACTTGATACTGAAATCATGGATGAAAGATGAAATGAGCCTGCTTGCTTAGATACCTACAGTGTGTTTGATTGAAAAAAAAATCACTAATTTTCACTTATTCTAGTTCCTACATTATTTCTGAAAATTATTTTTTCTACTAGCATGTAGAGAAGTCCACTTGCACTCATTCTAGTGTTAAAAGGGTCACTTTTCTGCACTCATTGTTAATGCAGATAAGTAAATTTGTTAATATTAAAAGGAAGGAAATTCCTATAATGTTCTTGGGATTTTTCTACAAGCTAGTGTGTCATTTTCTGCATTGTTAGGTAAACTACTATTTCACTATGTATTTGTGAGTTTCATGATTTCAAAAACCCCTTAGCTTTTGTCAAGCTCTTCATTTACCTCAGGGGTGAACCACTGGTTGAAAAATGTACAGGTATTGCCAAATCAGCAATACTTTCAGGAAAAATTTAATATATTTCCAGTATTTCTTGTTATTGTGCAATAAAATCAGTATTGCTATGTATTTTCTCTGTATTGCCCTTATTCCCTAGAAATCCCAGAATATTACTTGTATTTCATGTCTATTGCTTTTATTTCATGAATATTTCCTGTATTTCCTAGTTAATACCTGTATTCCTAGAAAATTTCCCAGAATATTTCCCAGAATATGGCCTCCTTCTGAATGACCAGAAAATGTAGAGAAATAAATACTCCCATAGACATTTTTCTCAGTGTAGGTAATTTACAAGGCAATTTATGTAAAAATAAATTACAATATGTAGAGTATTAACATAAACATAAAATTATTGCCGGCATCCCGAAATTTAGTTCTAGTTTATAGGTTACCCTTAAGAAATACCCTAGTTAATATCCTATATTCAATATTGTTTTCTCGGTCATTTCTAGAAAATATATTTTATCATTCCTGAGATATTTAATCTACTTATTATTACTTAACTATTATAAAAGTTGGAAAAAGTGTAAAAGTATTGTATGTATTTATCGAGGTATTTATATCATATTTTAATAAATCCTGATTAAAGATATATTGGTTAAAAAAAAACTTCAATCCACACACACATTTGACTTTGCTGATGTATAGTTTGATAATTATTATATTCCCCACATGCATGACAGTAAAAGTCATGCATATTTGATATCACAAAAACAAAATTATTGAAATATGCAGTAATATACAGGGGATTTTTTCGAAAAAATGTACTTCTCCACTTGCCCTGTATAATAATGATGGAGGTTCACTGGATGGTTCACTATATTAGACTCATATGCATTCACAACTTGTTCAAGAATAATGATAACAGAATATAGGTAAACACAATAGAGAAATATTCATATACAGGGTGGGCCACCAGTAACGCCTCGGTCTCTAGAAGGCTAACCACTTATCTTCTTGGAATTCTTCCTCTCTAGGAAGTTGCATGTCAACATAGGCTACCATTAAAAATTATTTCGAAACATACAGGGTGTCCCCAAAAATCACAAAACACTGAAGTTGAACTTTTTTCAATCGAACACCCTATATATTATTTCATTTTGAGATTCTCCCTGATGAGCTGATTTCAACGACTCATCATACTTGGGGTCTAGCACTTATAATTACTGAGATATAGGGTGTGAAAAATCGAGATTTTCCAAGTTCAAGAATTTTTTGTGTCGAAACTATTCATAATTGGTCAAAACGGCTTACATGTCCCTATCTCAACTTTTGATTAACTATCTACTGATATTTAATTGGGACATATACCGGGTGATCAAGATTCTGAATTCTGCACTCGATTCTGCACCACCCTGTATTTGGTTCAATTAAATGTCAGTAGATAGTTGATCGAAAGTTGAGATAGGGACATGTGAACCGTTTTGAGCAATTATGAATGGTTTAGACACAAAAAATTCTTGAACTTGGAAAATCTCGATTTCTCACACCCTATATCTCAGTAATTATAACTGCTAGATCCCAAGTATGATGGGTCGTTGAAATCAGCTCATCAGGGAGAATCTCAAAATGAAATAATATATAGGGTGTTCGATTGAAAAAAGTTCAACTTCAGTGTTTTGTGATTTTTGGGGACATCCTGTATGTTTCAAAATAATTTCAAATGGTAGCCTATGTTGACATGCAACTTCCTAGAGAGGAAGAATCCCAAGAAGATAAGTGGTTAGCCTTCTAGAGACCGAGGCGTTACTGGTGGCCCACCCTGTATACAGGGTATGTCACGACGAGTTTACACTATCTTCTATCTTTATATTGAGAATCAATCGCGAGAAATCCATGAAAATGTGCATGCATATATCTTAGAATACGTTTTTTTCATTCGAATTATTTTCGACAATGCAGTGTTGCCGCTTCTACTAGAAAGTAGTAGCAACATTGATATTTCAACTGGAATACCCTGTATTTTATCGCATTTTTAGATTCTCCCTGAAGAGCTGATTTTATCGATGTATCACACATTGGGTTTATCGAGAAAGATTACAGAGATATAGGGTGTTCAAAATCGAGATTTTTCAACTTGAGGATTTTTTTGTGTCGAAACTATTCATTATTGGTCGAAACGGCTCACATGTCCCTATCTCAACTTTTGATTAACTATTTATTCATATTTAATCGGAACGGATACAGGGTGGTTTGAGATTCAGAACTCTGATCACCCTGTATCTGTATCTAAGTGTGATATATCGTTCAAATCAGCTCTTCAGGGAGATTCCAAAAATGGAATAAAATACAGGGTAGTCTACTTGAAATAACAAAGTTGTTACCTACTACTTTTTGATAGAAGCGGCAACACTGCATTGCTGAAATTATTTTGAATGAAGAGAACGTATTGTAAAATATAAGCATGCATATTTTCATGTGTTTCTCCCTCGGTTTCTCCCGACTGATTCTCGATATAGAGATAGTGTAAGCTCGTCGTGACATACCCTGTATAGCCTATGTATTGCTGGTATTTCCAAAAAATTCCCTTCATATTGCCTGTATTCCCTTCATAATGCCAGTTTTCCTTCATATTGCCTGTATTTCCAAAATATTCCTTGTATTGCCTATGTATTGCTGGTATTTCCTAAAAATGTTCTGTATTTTCTTCATATTGCCTGTACTCCATTCATATTGCTTGCATTCCCAAAATATTGCTTGTATTGCCTGAATATTTCTCGTATTTCCTGATAAATGCCTGTATTTCCAGAATGGAGTTTCCTGAAAATTCCTGTATTTCCTTCAAAATTGCCTTCATTTCCAAGGTATTTTATTACCAATGTATTGAATATTTCTGGTATTTCCTGATAATTGCCAGTATTTCCTGCAAACTGTACAGGTATTTACAAAGTGGTTCACCCCTGGATTTTTCCACATATCACTCTAATACACTGGTCAAAACAGTTGAGGATAGAATGTTTCTTAGATGAGACTTTCTTTCTCAGGTTTGAGTATTGTTGAAGTGTATCTAACCCCACCCTACTCAACATATATACAGGGTGTCCCATTAACATATTGCCAAAACTCCGTCTAGTAGTACCTAGTGAAGGTGAAAATATTGGGAGTTCAAATAAAGATGAACATTTCTATGGGATTTTTAGTTGATAGATTTTTGACAAATTCAAGTCATGCTATCAGACACCTGGATCATTTTTTCACCAAAAAGATACTGTTGTTCATATCAATGAATCTAACCATTTTCCACAAAAATTTATAGAAACACAAAATAGGTCTCTCCTCCAAAAATTTTAAAGGACTATTTGACAGCTTTCAAAAACTCCGCTAGGTGGCGTACGCTCATTTCCGAATCTTGCTAAGGAGTACGCCCTTTAGCAAAAAAATCCCCAATATAGCTTTCATATACCTTTTCAAAATCAGGACAATCCAAATTTGTATTTGATACTGAGTTGGGAAACAAGGCAGTGATCGATAAAGAAAAAGCTGTGGATTCATAACTTGAAGATTGGAAAAAAAGTGTCTGGACATATGAGAGATTGTTCTTTACACGTTACTGAAAATGTACTCATATATTTTCATATAATAATGTATGTCCAATATGAATATAATACCTACTTCTTGAGGTAATGATAAAAAACAAACAAATTTTCAACTGATTATAAAGGGTCTTTCAACAAGGACCGGTCGATATTATTGTAATTGAATAAAACAAGCTGTGTGTGAGATATTAGAGAGTTGAAGTGTTGTCATGAACGTTAACGTAAACGTAGAAATTGACAGCTACGCATGCGCATTTTCCAATTCTTCACGTTTGCGTTGTTAGTGGGCTTACGGGTGTACGTTATCTCACGTTCCTTCACGTATACCTTAAATATCAACGTACGTTAACCAAACTATACTCGAAATATGCCGATGAGTCAAAATTATCAAATTCGAGATCACCAACGAGTTCTGCATCAAGGAGTCCTCTAATTTTGACAGGAATATATGTTTGAATCTAAACACACAACCAAAAATGACCAATACAAACCGAAAACAAAATGTATTATTACGTTATGATGACAGTGACGACCAAAGTGGCGACTTCAACTCAATTTAACGACAATACGTAAACGTTATTTTTCGTACGTTAACGTCTACGTGGAGGTCTACGTACAGTGATTACTTCAACTCTCTATTAACGATTTTTTTATTTTATTTGATAGGCCCATTTATGCCATTCTTTATGGAATATGACATCGTTCAAATGTCCGCCGCGGCTTCGAACGGTGGCACGGATCCGAGAGGTCCAATTTTCAATGACTGCTGCATAAATCCGGCTGAATCTGAGCAATGGCTTGCGTTATGTTCACTTTCAGGGTATCGGTCGATGGCGGCTCATTAACATAGATCTGCGACTTCAGAAAACCCCACAAGAAAAAGTCTAGTGGAGTCAAATCGCACGATCTTGGCGGCCAATTCACATCACCTCTGCGAGAGATAACCCACGTTGCGCCGTCTTGTTGGAAACACATGTCGTCCACGTCCATATCGTTCAATTCAGGCCAAAAGAAATTGTTAATCATTGATCTGTTGACGGTGATGGCCTCGCCAACGTCATTTTCAAATTCTCTGCAAGTTGTGATTCTCTGCAAGTTGTGATTCTCTGCAAGTTGTTTACCGTCTCGTACAGATCGGGTAATTTTTCCATCATGCTGGAAGACAGCTAGAGTCCAACCAATCCCCAAAAAAAGGGAACAAGAACCTGCCCAACAACTACAGGCCCATTGCCCTGTTATCAGTAATCTCCAAAGTGATGGAGAAAGCCATCAATATTGAGCTCATCAAATATCTGGAGAGCTCGGGAATCGTCAATGATAGACAATACGGCTTTCGCCATCGAAGATCTACTGGAGATCTACTTGCCTACGTCAACCATGTATGGCAAGCTTCATTAGAAAAACACGGGGAATCTCTAGCTGTGGCGTTGGACATATCGAAAGCATTTGACCGTGTTTGGCACGAAGGACTCCTCCACAAACTACCATCATACGGCTTACCACCTATGCCATCTCTAATCGAGTTTTCTTTCAGGCAGATTGCTTCACGTGGTGGTGGACGGTGTATCATCTGATACCATTGGCATCAATTCCGGCGTTCGACAAGGATCAATTTTGGCACCAACATTATTCCTTCTTCATATCAATGATCTGTTGGGAGTAACAACTTGCCCCATCCACAGCTTTGCAGATGATCGTACCATCCATATTGCGTTCTCTTCCAGAATTCCCATTTCTTCCCAGGAAACTAAGAACTAATGAAGGCCTTGCTGAAATCACAGCCTGGGGAACCAACAAGGAACTCAGTATGCCCGACATTGTTATGTCTGGCACCACCCCACCAAGCCCACCATATCTATGCTCGGTATTTCCATCAGCAACACTCTTTCATGTCAGATCCATCGCAAAAGCTGCTTCACAAAAACTCGGATTCTTGTTCCGTGCGAAAAGCTACTTTACACCTCAACAGCTTCTCATGATCTACAAAGCGCAGATACGGCCTGTTCTAGAATACTGTTCCCACATATGGGGTTCAGCACCAAAACATACGCTGATGCTCTTAGAGTCCATCCAGAGAAGAGCCATCCGCCTGGTGGGTGACGCCACACTCACTCACTCTTTGAAATCATTGGAACACCGTAGAAAGGTCGGCGACCTTTCACTTTTCTATCGATCCATAATGTATTAACACCGTAATTATGAACACCTGCCAAATTTCAAGTTAATCGGAGTTATGGAATTTTTGTTGAAATTAAAAAAAATGGCTGCTCCAAGATGGCGGACAAGATTTGGTCTGATTCCATTCAAAATTGGTAAGTGGGGGTTTTTGAGGTCGGAGATCTTGTTTTTTTTTGTTTTTGTATAAATGACGATAACTCCGTTGTTAATCAACACAAAACTATTACTGTGATATATCATCTGTAAGAGAAAAAAAAGTTATTTGTAAATAAGTCATAGTGAGCTACGACCTACATTTGAAAAACTAAAGTTGGTGCTGATATCTCAAATTCTAGAAGAGTTGGTATAAATTTCATATTTTTTTCGAAATTGCTTTGAAAAACTGCCATGAGAATGTGAAATTCCTATTTGAATATTTTTATAAATAAAGAAGTTGCGGAGGAGACATGAAAATGACCAAAATCTGTTTTTTGTGTATAAAACAAAAACGAATAGATTTTATCAAAATATTTTTTCACATTATAGTTGGCCTTGACAAACTCCACATTTGGTGTCATTTAACCGACTTCGTATCTCTCACCGTTAAAAAGATACCCATGGTGAGCATGGTAAGTGGGACGCAATGTATATGAATTTCAACTAGATGTAGGTATGTTATCTAATGTTGAACAGAGATAGTCCTCAATCGAAAAACAATAAACCACTGAAAAATACACAACAAGGCTCAACGATTGGAAACCCAAAACGAAATAAGCATAAACACCATTACCGAACAATGTAAACAACCCGCCAATGGCCCATAGAGTAGTACCGACATTCGCCGTTCTGGCGCTACGATCTTAATCTCGAATTACGTGTCATTTGGTTCAATTCTCAACGCCTCACTCTGTATTTCAGTTTATGCCCGCCTCTGATGCAAAGAGTCCATGAAACCGTCGAAGAGGCATCAGAGATCGTTTTCATGGATTCGACAGGCACTACCGGCGGTGACAGCAACCGAGTCTACGTCCTACTGACAGCGAAAAGTTATGTCAGTTTGCCTCTCGCCATTCTCATAATGACATCCGAGTCCAGCCATCTGATTGCCATCGGCTTCCAGCTCTTGAAGGACATACTGGGCGATAAAGTTTTCCACGGCAGGGTAAACGGCCCCACTTTTTTCATGATCGGGGACTCAGCGGCAGAGCAGGCTGCTATTCAGGCTGAATGGCCTGACAGCACCGATATGCTGTGTTCGTTTCACGTGTTGCAGTGCGTTTGGAAGTGGCTGATGAATTCGAAAAACGGAGTGCAAGTGGACCATCTGCATACACTTTTCGAGGGGTTCAAGAAGATCATGTATGCCAGCGACGAAGCAGCCTGCTCTGCAGCTTATCAAGTTGCTCTGACTGAATCGGGGAAATGTCGTGGATACCAATCATTCCTAGAAGAGTACTGGGGCAGAAGACCCCTTTGGGCTTTGTGTTACCGGGATTGTTCGAAACGAAGGGCAAATGCAGATGAAATTAATGAAGCTGCCATGCGTTTACTCACAGAAAAAATCTTCGAAGGAATCAAAACATTCAATCTGATCCAAGTGGTGGATTTTATGATAAACACATTCACTTCTTATTATGAAAGAAGCATTTTGGATGCTGCTCACAATAGGATAGAAAATAACTTACTGCATCAGATATTCAGCCCGCCTCCAAAACGAGGAATAGTAGCTGGCATACAACATTTGAGTGATAATATTTATCTTGTACCCAGTGAAAAAAACTCTGATGACTTATACATTGTTAGTTCTGAAGTTTTAATTTGTACATGTAGCCAAGGCAAGAACATTTTTGTGTGTAAGCATATCGGTTGGATTTGTTGTTATCTGAAACCGGAAAAATTCATTGAAAAGACTGATAGTGAGAAGCTGAGAAGGAAATACTATTTCATTGCCACTGGCATTCATCCCCACACGAATTGGCCGTATTACGGGGCGAACCTGAGTGACAATTTCAACATATTAACGTCCATGGAAACTGATTCTGACAATATGGATACGGATTCTTTAAATGGGAACAAGGATTCGCGGGATTCAGAAGAAAAGCGAAAGTTTCTTTCAATAGGCAGGGAAACCATAAATGAGATGAACCATCAATTCTATCAGTATTTAGAGCTGTCTCCACAGAAAGTTTCAAAGGCCTTGAGAGCTTTTAATAAGGAACTTAAACAAATTAAGACCGCCTCGGAATTTGTAAGATCTTTTCATGATTTCTCCTCAGGTATGTTCTCAGAAAAATTTCAGAAATTATACTATGACTGGCAAATTTTTGTACACAAATGGAGAAAAAAAATAATTGAAAAATATTCATGAACTCAAAATTCACTGTCCAAAGTTTGATTGAGTATTGGTAAAATATTAATAACGAATTCTGAATAGTATTTCACAAAAAATTTAATATTTGAATTCATTGACGATCACATGTGATATTATAATATGCAGTGAATTGTTTATACACTTCTCCCATAAATTAACGCAGCACTAAAAAGTAGCCAGAAACTACTTGCCCGATTTGTAAGATTTTTGTTTTGAATGACACATCTCCTTCTGAACTTTGGTGTGTAACTGGTACTGGTACTGGTGGGGGACGTTTGCACGTCAGAAACTAGTCCCTAATGGGACCTTTTGGAAGTCCCAAGGTGTTTTTAATGAGTGATGTGGTTCGCTCAAGAGAGCTGACTAACATCCTTTTCAGGCACCGCTCATCAGCTCTCTTTCAGAGTTTTTTTCGGCTGTGTTTTGTAGGCTAGTAATGTACTGACTACCATACGCTACTCGCTACAGTGGCAGGCCTGCTAGCTATTTCGTTAACCCCCGTTAGAGACTGAGGTCCACTAAGCAGCATTGGCCCGCTCTCACGCTCAGCTGGTAGTTTTTGGTGTGTAAACTGTTATCGCATTTTTTTTTATTCGTTTATATAATTAGAGGACATCTGAACCGGTAAACGCTCGGGTAAACGTGACAACACGGCGCACGACTTGCGTGGTCTTGTCAGTTCTCAGCATTCAGCACAATGTTGCCAAGACACCAACATTCAAATGATATTTTGTTATGGAGTATAAGAAATATTTGGACATGCTGATGGCTTGATAAAGTCAAGAATCAACTAAAACATCGTGGGTTCCTCCTATTATATTTTATTCAACGACACGACTCTAACATCTTTTTCATTAAGTTGATTGTAATTGGTGACTTGGCAACCTTGCTTCATGAGTGGGAATGAAAGATTATCTGACCAATAACGAAACAGCATAAAAACTAACGTCACCATTTATTCGACGTATCGCCGAATGGCGGCCATGACGGTACGTTTGAAATGAGTTCCGAAAACAATTTCGAACAACGGTCCCTAACAACACAGTGGAGTAATTGAATGCTGATAATTCAATATTTGTCCACTCGCCCATATAGTGTTTTTTTCATGAAATTTTCAATACCCTGTAGTGTGTAATATTTACCATATCAAGTTATCAGGGCACTGCTATAATAGTTATTTATGTATCAAGGGCGTAAAGTATGCGTTTATGGCCTGTGGCGTGAATAATGGCCCGATGGCGCTAGCCGAGGGCCATTACACGCTGAAGGCCATAAACGCATTTCACGCACGAGATACATACAAAATTTTATGCTCTATATAGTGGTTTATTTTCTGACTCATAAGTAATGACTATAGATTTCAACAAACTAATATTCCCCAGAATTTAATTTGTTACGTATTAATTCAGTAATCAAGAGAAGCGTGATGTTCATGGATGATTTACATATGAAAATTATCGTACGAATATTGCAATTATCGGAATAGTAAAACTCTTTCAGCTCTAGAAGAGATTCATTCTTCAGAGTTTTACAATATGCATACCCAGTATATAAACCTAACTTATTTAATCTTGACGTTGTCAATCAATCTGATGGTTGTTGTCAATAGCAAAACATCCAATGAACGAGCTGAATTGTCATTCTTTGACTGAAAAGTAAAATTAGTGATAATAATTATAGCGAGACTATGGAATCGGATAAATAAGAAGTTTATGATATACCGCTGGATATATTAGAATCTAGGAATATGATCATAGGTTTTTCATGAATTGATATGTGGATATAAGGTGACTGAGAACAGCGGGCGGTAAAGTGCACTTTACGGCCCGTGGGCCATAATGAGCCCGCGGGCGGTAAAGTGCGACTTAACGCCCGCAAAACCGGGCGGTAAAGTACACTTTACGGCCCGCTAGTGCATAAAGAATGTTATTGCCCGAGATATTTTGAATACACATTTCCTTTCCATTTGTGTCCAAAAATCTGCCGGTCTCCGTCTATGTATGTATACAGGGTGTCATTAGTGTGGCAAAGTGAGATAATGGATTTACTGTTTGAGATAGATCGACAAAAATTTCAGAGATGATCTAGGATCATGAGCAGCACATTTCCAAATTATTCCGCTTTCACAGGGTGACTCAGAGATGCGTGGCGTATCAAAGTTATACTCTTCATTGCATTTTCGCATTCTCCTTTGTGAGCTGATTTCATCAATGCATCACACTTGGGGTCTAGCGAGAATGATTACAGAGATATATCAAAACGGCTTTCATGTCCTTATCCCAACTTTTAATTTACTATCTACTGACATTTAATTGGAAGAAATACAGGGTGGTTCAAGATTCATCATTCTGATCAACCTTATTGTATCTGTTCCAATTAAATGTCATTGGGATAGGGATATGGAAGCCGTTTTGACAAATAATTAATAGTTTCGACGCAAAAAAATCCTAAAGTTGAAAAATCCCGATTTTGAACACCCTATGTCTCTGTAATCATTCTCGCTAGACCCAAAGTGTGATGCATTGATGAAATCAGCTCACAAAGGAGAATGCGAAAATGCAATGAAATACAGGGTGTCCCATAAGAAAAAGTATGACTTTAATACGCCACGCATTCCTGAGTCACCCTGTAAAAGCGAAATAATTTGAAAATGTGCTGCTCATGATCCTAGATCATCTCTGAAATGTTTGTCCATTATCTCACTTTGCCACACTAATGACCCTATATTTTATGGTTATTTGGTATTATGCTTATATGATCAAAGATAAGTCTAATATAATTTATATTCTTCAAATTTTCCTATTGAATCCAATTCCTGCAATGAAAAAAATAAGGAAGATAATTTGGAACAAAAATGTTCACTCATACAAGTCGAATATTAAAAAACATTTAGGCTTTTCTCCTATTAATTTTGATGAATTCGCGTATATCAGCCGAAAATAACGTTCAATGAATGTTTATGGCATAATTTCTGATAATAGTGATAATATATCAATCACTGAAATTTTATTTATATATAGGTACGAATCCGAGGGAAACAGATACAGAATCTGGTGGACTACAATGGCTGCATTCCCCAAAGAATTCAGATGAATATGAATTAAATAGTGATTGAAATATATGATTTTTAAACATATAGAATTTTATCATTTTTTATCCAACATACCCATTTCAATTTCTGAGGAAAATGGAAATTACTACTTCAGGAGCGTGCCTGGTTATTTCCTGCACAGGTTGATTCCAAAAATTTTGAATATCTTGGACCAACCGATTAGCAATCAAATTCCTGATTCCAAAGGCGTAAGTACCAAGTTTCTTCTAGGACAGGAAAAAAATATATCAGAATCCCCAAACGTCATCAACACTATAAATATTGATCAAAAACAGAATTGCAACACCTGGACCCTTTTTAAAAGGTAAATTTACTAGTAGTCGTTCTTTATTACCCCATATAAACAAACATCATTTTCAAATCGAGATATTCCGAAAACGGAACACAGTATCGAGTTATAACAGGAGTACCTTATTGGTGTGAAATTGAATGATGTTGAATTTCACATAAAATTTGGATTGAAAAATCTAACCTCAAAAAAGTTATGTTCAAAACTACTCGGTACAAACCGTGTAACTAGCGCCCTCTATGAGAGTCAGATATAAGAACAAATGCATGCGATATGTCGGATTCCAAGAAACATCCATACAAAATTTCATCACAATGTTGCCAGTAGTTTCGACATAATCTTGAAAAATGTGTGAAAAATGATTTTTTCAACACCTTGTATCTTGATAACGGATGCCGTTACGAAAGTTTTTTACTGAGTAAACCCAACTTATTTTGCAGTGTTCTACCTACCCTAATAAGGGGGTCAGGTTTTTTTGAAACGCCCTGTATAATTACGTATTATTAGTTATCTCCCGGGATGCGAGTGGTTCACTAGGGAAGAACATTCATTCCAGACGTCCAGTCAAGAGCGCCGGCCGACTCGTCACAGCGTAATTCCACGAAATAACCATAAATTGTAGTCGTATAGGCTGGGAGACCTCTCGATCACTGCGATCTAGAAGATCTATTCTGATTACCCTTATCTAGTTTTGGTTCTCTAACCCTAGACTTCTGATGAAGCCTAGAATTTTCCTGACGGTTGAATTTCCCACCTCAGCAGGTGTGAGATAGACCTGCTCTAGGTGATTCAGTCTTTGGCAGACTAATACTTTACATGAGCAAAGTATGTGTTAGGTGGTACCTCAGAGCGCAGTGTCCTGTGAGAAAGCCTGTGGCGACTTTTTATAACCACTTCAAAGGCAGGATCGAAATAACCATAAGGTAAGATCTTAATAACACCACGCTAAATTTTGCCTCCAGTCCATTTTTTTCTCTCCTGAGACTCTACAGGTAAGGGATTCACCCTTTACGTACCCGTCATTATCACTATGATAAAACCAGGATTGCAAATCCGAAAACCTTTTTGTCTAAGGTGGTCCGAAACCTAGAATTAATTTTGAAATCTCTTGATAGAAAATGATAGAATAGATTTTCAGTTTTTTTAATATTTTATATAAATACAGAAAGCATAGGCTATGTTTTCAGTTAAAATTATAAAATATATTGTAAACAGATTATTCTAGTAACAAAAAGTGTCCATGAAACACTTACCCAAATGAAAGAACAAAATAAATAATTTCCAAACAGTGGTGTAATGATAAGAAAGTTCGAACTAAAAAAATACAATTAATATAAACTATGAAACGATTGATTATTGGTTAGAAATCTAGGATCAGCTTCCGGTCTGTCAAACGGTGTACGAATATTTGGAAACCGACCCAGTCTTTTCGATGGTATCTTTGTGTACTTGGTAGCCCAACATGGTCCTCTGATTTATGTGAAGCCTTTCTTTCAGTTTTCTTCCGATCTCCAACACGGCAGCTGCGTTCTGGGCGTCTGCGGTCCAGATACCTATAGAGAAGGAAGCAGTGGCGAATATACAAGGTGTCCACCTCAAGGACTCACCTCTGTGGACTTCTCATAGATCTTAATACATTTTTTGGAATGCGACACTCCACTAGAGGGTAACTCAATTTTTGGGCTTTTGGACTACTTTTATAGTCAAAGATCCGAAGTAAGGTCGACCTTCAAAGCCTAAAGAATATGCGAACGCAGGGTTGCCTATATTTTTTCTGGTCTAACTATTGGGTTGCCAAGTCAGGTATTTTGGTCCTACTTATTTTCACGTACTTGTTATACGACGCTATACATAGTGGAGTATACTACGGCCTTGCCAAAAATGCTATCTCGGAAACTAAGCGAGATAGAGGTATAGTTACTTTGGAGAAAATGATCCCCATCGAATTTTGAGCAACTTTGGTTTTTGTGTGTGGTCTGTCTGTCTGTACTCTGTGGTAATCATAAATCGATATATCTCTGGAACTTTTTGACATATCGACTTGAAATTTCGCCATCTTATTGTACTCAAAATAATATTATGTCATTAAAATATGAAGGAAATCGGAAAACTCTAAGGTGGTTTTTCCGGGTTTTTTCGATTTTTCACCGGAAGTTTCTTGTGACCACTCTACAAATCGCAAAAGTGGTCCGATCGATTTCATTTTTTGTGAGAAAAAACTCTATCAGGGAGAGACGAAGCCTATTGAAATTGAGCAGGGTCGGGAAATGCCAAGTGGGGTTTTCAAGGAGATTTTCCGAAACACACGGTTCGCTTTAAAACGACATATCTCCTGAACCAATAGACTAAACAAATTTGAAAAATGCACCGTATGCCTCTTTGATGACGCAACAAATTATTATATTACCATTTTTTCGTGGAAATGGAAAAACAAATGAAAATTAAAACATCAAAATTTGAAATCCTTTCAATTCAATATAAACTACTCAACACTAATTTCGTCGCAGACCAAAATGTCGCCTCTGTTATAATGTGAATAACTTTTTTCAATTTAGAACAATTTAAATTTGGTTCACACTGTTCAATAGCCCAGTCCTTCAGCTATAATCTGGTACTTCATTGAAACATAAGGATATTCACATAAAATCTCTACATGGTGTTTTCCGACACTGTGCGAAATCTCGGAATATTCAAAAGGCTCTCAAATGGTGAAAAAAATTGTTTCCCCAACTTCGACAACAGAGGCATGAAGATGATCTCATTATCTCGAGATATTCCGCGAATCAACTTCCTATCTCTCTTATTTACAGAGTGATCTCAAAAAATCAACTTTTTGGTTTTGCAGTCATAACTTTTTTCCACGTCAACCGATTTTGGAAATCTTAGGCTTATTTTGAAGATAAAACTTTAGATGAAGAGATCTGGATATCAGAATTGACTCAAGATGGCAATCAAAGATCTAGAGTTTTCTTGAAAGTGACCCAAATCTGGAACGCCCTCCGAATCTCGGTTGGGAGGAGAATTGAATGAAAATCAACTTGTTCTCGGAAAAACAATTCATTCTGGATGCGTCCATATTTTCCTACCTCTCAGTACTCAAGAATGTGCGTGAGAAAACACAATTGAAACATGTTCCTGCAAAAACATCAGACCATTTCTCCTCTGTAATGCATGGCCCGTAACCAACGTTACAAGAATCACAGTAAGTGACTGACAAGTCAGGTTAGACGTCGTTTTCATAATATCATAAACAGATTTTGATAGTTTCGATGCCACATCTAACGCCCGACCAGTTGGAACTGATTCCACAAATAAGGGAACAAGGGTTATCTTCCCTCCAAATCGCGGATCCGCTAAACACGACAGTCCGATCCATTCAAAGGGCTTATCTCCAACACGAATTGTTTGGTTATTACTGTCGATTCGTTCGGCGCATTATTGCGAGTGAAAACTTTACGTAATTGGTGAACTGTTTTTGTGAAACTTTCACCATTTTTGAAATGCGTTTTACAATAAATAAACGTTGTTCGCTTGAATACTTTTCCATATTCTTAAATCGCATGTTATGTACGTGACAACTGTTAAAAAAATCACTTTATCAAAAAAAAAACAAAATCCGTTGCTCTTGTTGGTACACCATTTACGATGAGCCTCAGCTAGTCGGGTTTGTCAGTCACTCATTGTGATTCTTGTAACGTTGGTTACGGCGCGCCATGCATTACAGAAGAGAAATGATCTAATGTTTTTGCAAGAACATGTTTCAATTGTGTTTTCTCACGCACAATTCTTGACTACTGAGAGCGAGGAAAATATGGACGCATCCAGAATGAATTGTTTTTCCGAGAACAAGTTGATTTTCATTCAATTCTCCTCCCAACCAAGATTCGAAGGGCGTTCCAGATTTGGGTCACTTTCAAGAAAACTCTAGGTCTTTGATAGCCATCTTGAGTCAATTCTGATATTCAGATCTCTTCATCTGAAGTTTTATCTTCAAAATGAGCCTAAGATTTCTAAAATCGGTTGACGTGGAAAAAAGTTATGACTGCAAAACCAAAAAGTTGATTTTTTGAGATCACTCTGTGAATAAGAGAGATAGGAAGTTGATTCGCGGAATATCTCGAGATGAGATCATCTTCATGCACATCGCACAGTTTTCGTTTATTCTGCCAGTCATGATCGCGTAATCGCCGTCAACAGCGGATGACATAACTGTCAAGAATTATAATTCAGACTGTCCAAACTTTTTTGATGTACTATATGGCAGAAGGTAAAGTATAGTACGTAATGCCTGTTGTAAAGCAAATGCGTAATATGCTTGTTACAACACATATTACGTAATATACTATTAAGTGCGACTGTGAACGTGCGACAAAGAGGTCCGAGACAAACATGGTAAACAATTTGGGGTCCCTAAACATTCAACCACCCTATATGAGCACAGTCCACAGTATAATGGAATAAAATTCTTCAACCATCTCTCACTATCCATAAAAAACCTTGAATGACCAAAATCTTTTCAAAAGAGCTCTCAAGAATTTTTCGATTGAGAAGTGCGTGTATACAATTTATAGTGATTATATGTGTTAATTTCTAGTGATTATATGTGTTAAGTCAATGTTTTGCATACTGCACTATTGAATTTAATCTTGATCTTTATGTATTCTTGTATTTTTGTAGCTATAATCCTGACATGTCTTTTATCATTGTGTGTGATTTTGAAAGATTAATACATTTTATTATTATTATTATTATTATTACGAAGACTGAGTTGTGGTTTCGCGCAAACCTACATCATTGTGTTCGCAATAAAACAACGCTTATTTTAATGTTCAAGTTATAGATTAAACACGTAGGTGAAAATGACTAGGACCAAAATACCTTTTTATATCTGGCAACCGAATGTAAGACGCGGAAAAATATAGACAACCTTACGTTTGCATATTCTATAGACTTTGTACTTACGGTTGGTGTAATTTTTTTTCATCAAACTCATTCGTACAAATGAAAAAACAATGTTTTTCGAATTTTTCATCATTTATAGCCTGGCCAGGATTTTTTCAAGCAACCCATATTTTTACAATTTTTAACATACGAAATGACTTATAAAATAATGTTCATCCATGAAACAGATGGTTGAAGGTCGACCTTACTTCGGATCCTCTATTATTATGAGAAGAAACTTCAAAAGGTTTTGTTATACATGGTATAATAGCGGCCTACTAAATTAGTTTCGTATTTTCGTTTTATGTTGTTCGTAAAATAATTTTTTTGCTGCGAACTGGTTTATTTTGGGCAAAAAATTCAAGTGACATTTTTTGTTTAGAAAGAAACAGACTATCGGAAATAAATTTTTTCTACAAACGTCAAAAAATGACAAGGTTCGCGCATTGATAACAAATTGCGAAGTGACACTTTTTTTCAGTTTCCTACGTTACCATGATACCTTGCACATAACAATGCGCGAAGTAAAACAGTGCGCGAAGTACCTACTTCGCGCATTGGTATGTGAAATATATGAGATATTTTTATTCCAACTTTATGGTCCTTAATCGAGCAAACATCCACGAAATCATTCATTCCTGGATATCCAACAATAACTTTGTTTTATCTCTTGGAGCGCACGAAAGGAAATTCCTATTATGTTCGTGGAACATCGTGCGTACCTAGGGAGGATAGGGGGAGGCCTTTTAAGCCAGTTCAACACTATTTTTTATATCGAGCTAAGCATATTTTTACTTTAGAACTATATTTTTTGACGTTTGTAGAAAAAATGTTGTTTGCAACTCGAGCGCGAAATACTTTGGTCATCTCGACTACTACTACTAAAATCAGATCTCGATCACCAAAGTAGCATTTCGCGCTCTAGATACAAAAATAACTATTTTCTACAAACGTCAAGAAATGACAAGGTTCGCGCATTGATAACAAACTGCGAAGTGACACTTTTTTTCAGTTTCCTACGTTACCATGATACCTTGCACATAACAATGCGCGAAGTACCTACTTCGCGCATTGTAATGTAAAATTAATGAGATATTTATATTTCAACTATAATATGGTCCTCAATCGAGCAAAATTCCATGAAATCATTTATTTCTGAATGTTCAACAATAACTTTTGTATTATCTCTTGAGCGCACCAACGGAAATTCGTATTATGTTCGTGGAACATCGTGCGTACCTAGGGAGGATAGGGAGAGACCTTCAAAGCCAGTTCAACACTATTTTTTATATCTAGCTAAGCATATTTTTACTTGAGAACTATATTTTTTGACGTTTGTAGAAAAAATGTTGATTGCAACTCGAGCGCGAAATACTTTGGTCATCTGGACTGTTTTTTTAACTCGGCTACGCCTCGTTAAAAAAATCAGATCTCGATCACCAAAGTAGCATTTCGCGCTCTAGATACAAAAATAACTAATTTAAATGGTAAACAAATGATGAGACAAAAAGTTACATTGGAAATATAATCTAGGGGTTATGTTTTCCGTCCCTTACAACCATGAGGAAAACCAAATAAATTACTGGCTAAGTGTCTTTTTGGGAGTAGAAAATGTCAGATTAATTTCAATACTGTAACTTTTTTAGTGCTTTTGAAAAAAAATTGTTAAACAAATTTAATGTACCCCCTTCAAGGGGCTGTATCTTAATATGGGATGCCCCAATGAAGAAAAAGTCTCACTTTGATTACAACAATATTTCCTTAAAATGTTCATTGAATTTTGAATCACCCTTTATTAGTTCCTATTCCAAACTATCCCAATGCAAATCAATAGTGCTAATCAATTATTGAATATTTAGCTATTTGATTACTCTTTTTATTTTTATACACTTAGTGTGACTTTGATAAAATATGTTCTGGTTTTTACATGAATGTACAAAAAATATTGTATGCAACTCATGCAAATAAGTGTTTATTGTGAGTGCAATAAATACTAACTTTTTTCACTTTTTGCATAAATAACTATCAAACAGGAGATCTCAGATAAAAGTTTGATACAATCAATGAGGTTATTTACTATCATATCAATTTATGAATCAATCTGTCAAAATATATTCTTGGTTACCATTTTGAAAATATTATGCATTTCAACTATTTTATTACTGAACATTTTCAAATTATGCACCCTGTATGTATAATCACTCACCAATTTTGTCTCCTTTTTGCCTAATATTAACAACAGCTCCACAAATTTCATTTGAATTTTCAAAAGCTTCTCCAATCAAACACAATATCTAAAAACATAAAAACTCAAAATCCAAAGTAGTTCCATGAAAAAAACAAAAAACTCACAATATCTAACCAGTACCGATCTAAATCATTATTTCTTTGTTTCTTTTCTAAGCTGAGCAGCCACCTGCCGCCCTTGTTGTTGGCCTTATCTTCCCACATGGGCATGATACCTTTCTTGAAGAGGGAGTAATCAGTACCTTGTCTCAGTTCACTAGCAGGTTTAATGTGATTGTACAGGCTGAAATACAATATAGAGTATCCTCAAGTTGAAGGATAAGTACAACTATGAAATATTTGTGCAATTTTTCACCAATAGTACCAGAACACCAGAACCTAATATCACTGAACTGTATGCCTTAACAAAAATATAGTCTTTAGAAGAACTGTACAGATTAGAGACTCTGAAAATTTCATATATCATCATCATCATCTTTATTATTCCCAAGAAACAATTGACATATATGTTCATAACAGGGAACATTAAAAAATAAACCATAAGGTATTACATTACATTCAAAATATAGTATTTATAGGTATAATATAATCTAGTAATTCTCATAGTTTGAGCTGATCCTTGTTTGAGTGAATGAATGATTAAAATAATTGATATGTTATATGATCTCAATATGGATGACATGACAAAATTTAGACAAATAAATATTTTTTGAGTTCTTTCTCGAATTTTTTGGTATTGTAGGCAATTCATTGTAAAGTAATAATCCATTGTGATATATATAGATCTCTTGCCAAATTCAGATTTGATTTTAATGAGGGAAAACATGTCTGTTTGTCTAGTTGAATGTGAATGTGTATATTAGCATTAATTTTAAAATTCAAATTGGAATGTTTATACTTGTATTTATAATTGTGTTTGACTGAATGAACAAATGTTAATATTTATTTATTTATTTATTTATTTATTTATTTATTTATTTATTGAACAAATAACTTCCAGACAGAATAGGCTCTGGTATAAGGAAGTACATAATTATATACCTATAGGTAAACATAGCATCATTCAAAATATATCAACAACTGTAAATTGGCAAACAAAGAATAATATTTGTAAATGAAAAAAAAATGGCATGATTAATTTTATCCAGTCCGCTGAGAAATAATCAGTTTTTTTACTTCATTTTTGAATATACCTATATTTCTGCAATTTTTTATATTATCAGGTAGTTTATTGAATTCAGTTAAGGCTGAATGAGTGAATCTTTTTTGTCCGATTAGGGAGCTAGCGGCGTCAAGATGGAACAAGTTATATTGTCTAGTTTCATGATTATGAATTTCAGAATTCCGTATCAAAATAATATTCGACTTCAATTTTTTATTTATGATATTATATGATATTTTGAGAGTTTCAATTCTATATATTTCATCTAAAGAATACGTATTTGTTATTTCATACAATTGATTGGTTGGTGTATCAAATGGGAGACGATACAATACTTTTAACGATTTTCTATATAATGTTGATAAATAAAAAATTGAAATCTAATAATATTTTGACAAAAAAATTTTGAAATTCATAGTCATCAAATAAGAAAATATAACTTATTTCACCTTGATGCTGCTAGTTCTACACTCAGACAAAAAAGATTCACTCATGCAGCCTTATCTGAGTTCAATAAACTACCAGATGGAATTAAAAACTGCAGAAATAGGTACATTCAAAACGAAAATAAAAAAACTGATCATTTCTGAAAGAAATTTTTAATATTTATAAGTTAGTTATGTCCTTGACTAGAATGATTTTCTTTGTTCATTGATTGTTTTGTGTTATTGTGATATCCTGATTTATTATTCATGTTCACTTCTACTCATATTTGTGTAGTAGTTCATAGATATTTATTACTTATTATTTTATAATTATGTTCTTCCTCATACCAGAACTTGTTCTGACTAGAAGATATGTTTGATAAATAAATAAATAAATATGGGTGAATTAAAATAAAAGTTGTTTGAAGAGGAAAACTCATCATGAATCAATTATCAACTTCAGTGAAAATTCTTTTCAGGGTTGAACAGATTCAACAAAAAATATTGAACATCATTTCTATTCTTCAATTCAGGAAGGAGGTGAAAAAAGTACTGATTGAGGAAGCCTACTATACTATTCAGGACTATCTTGCAGAAGTCTTATAGATAAAAATGTTTATTTAATATTTTTGTATTTATCATATTTTTATATTTTAAACTAGGCATGTGACTCACCCATAAATATATACATGGGTAAACCAACAGGTGCATCATCTCATACTCTTTTAATGTGTATTTTAATGACTCTGCCTATAAGAATCTGTATCCTTCAGCATTAAAGTGTATTTTTATTTAATTTAAAATAATGAGCATTAGCCACATCACAGAGCTTGATATTAGAATAAGGAAAGACATTTATCATTCTCAATAACACTTTTAGAACTCTTAGAATTCTTTTAGTTTATTTTAGATTTAAGTAGCTTTGTTAACAAAATTATGTTTCAATGACAATAATGCAGAATCTCCAATATTCACATTGTTGATAAAGTTCCCATGAGAACAAGACTGGTAAAATTTAGTAAGCCTGGATCTCTGCCTGGATACCTGCTGTAAGTGGTAATTTTCCTGTTAATGTTGATGAGAGATAACATGAGTACATTTTTCAACTAATGAAAAGTACAAATAGAATATTTATTTACTCAGCAGTCACATGAAAATTGTGGAAAAATATATAGTTCTTCAAAACTTATCCTTGTGAACAATTTATCTATTAAAGTAACAATGAGAAAGAAAGATGAATTGAAGCAACTAACCAACTGAAAGTAAGATGAAACATATTTAAATATGGCCTATAAGAGGCTTAAAAAGAGATGTTTGGGCATATTTCATCATATCTGTATGATAATTAATAAAAAACATATAATTTTCAATACATTATTGGAAAGAAAAAACAAATCACAAGTGTTTATCAATACTAAAAACCATATAATACCAATATGAATACTGTTATTTGAGGAAATGGAGGAAAATTTATATCTTATGAAGCTGAAAATCAGTTTGATCCATTAAATTTTTATGGAGAATTTAAAGTTAGTACACAAGCTTGAATATAATCAAGTATTCAGTAGGTATGTGGTTTACAATCAGTCCTACTTAAGATAAGGATAGAATCCTGGGAAAAACTCATCAGCAATATCCAATTCTAAGGAAATATCAAGTACTAATTCAAAGATATTGGAACTCTTTGAACAAGATCAACTATAGTAAATTATTTTACACCATTACAAGCTCAAATTAACCAATGAATTCTGGTAAACTTCTGTTTATTTAGCAAAAAGAACTATCAGTATTGTGAGCTACAATTTAGTTTGCTTACAAAATAGGTTTGCAGTTATTGATGCCCCTATCCTATTCAAGTTTTTCATGTCCAATTAGGCCAAAGAATGTTTTGAACAAGAAATGTTAATGATAAATCTGAGAACTGGGAAGTTCCTTTACATATCCAAAGTAGGTACTTACCTCCAAAAGTCCTCAACTGTTTGAAAGGAGGAAATTTCCTTTTGGTTCTTCTCCCATGTCAAATTCCTATCATTTTCGTAATACCACAGACTCCAGCAGCTCTGCAGTGGATGTTTTATGGAAAAGTCCATTGGTATGTCCAATTCGTTTTCGTTTTTTTGGTCGTTTTGGTCTATCTGTAATAAAGTCATTTGTTACATCAACTTATTCTTCGATATGATCACAGCTAACTACTAGTTTTTTTGATTTTTTATTTGCCAAATTCCATGATAACAAGAACAACAATATGGCAGTTCAGCAGAATTTGATGTAGACAGGTAACAACTTTCAAATAAACAAATTGAAATTATGAGCATGGAAATCCTCAAATAACTAGAATCTTGGACTAAACGAATTTTTATAATTACCTCATTTTCAATAGAATTTGTAGACATTTTGAAAGCCGAGCTGCGGACCTGCAAAAAAGAGCTTTTCAATTTTCAGGTTAACCAGATTGCCATTTGCCAATTTGACAGTTCACCAATGACAGGTAATAAGTGCTGTAAATTCGACATTTCCCTAAATTCAAATGATCCAAAATGAATTCACCAATGACCTGAAACAGAATTTGATAACTCACCGACATTCTGGTATTATTCAAATCGAATAATGATAAATTGGTTTTATAGATAATCTTAATCTTGACATTGAATATCAAGATAATTATATCAAAAGAGGAGGTTACCAAGCAACAACAACACCATAACAATCTAATAGCGATTTCCCGGTTTTCCGTTGGTAACACTGATTTCACAACTAGCACTCATAGAACCTCATAGAACCTATAGAACCATAGAATACGAGTGTGAAACCCTCGGTGATAACAAATTCCATGATAACTTGACAACAGAGATGATTAATAAATTAATGATATCATATAGGTATAAAATCATGAAATGTCTGTTATTAAAATAATTCACGCTCAGAATAATATTCAAATTTCACCAGCTGATCAACTTCTGCTGATTACTGACAGTGGATTCACTGACAGTACTGACAGTACTGACACAGAATGAGTATTCTGTGGTACTGAACTGACCAGTCGGAATCGGAATATTGGCAAGGTGACTACAGTCAGTGACGACAATGGACTGGCAACCCATTGCATACATCTTGCTGTAGCTGTAGTTGTCAAACTTGTCAATGACATAAAGTGTTATCACTCTTATCAGTACACAGTACACGAGCTAATGGCAGTAATGGGATTGAGTGAGGATTGAGTTTGTTTTCCCCCAGTTTTGACGTGGCTTTGACATGGAACGATGAAAACCGAGCGCCCCCTGGTAAAATGTGCTGCGTTAGGCTGTATCAATCAGTTGGACCGCAAATTTAAATTTGTCAGCTTTCCATATAAAATGCAGATGAACTTACTTAGAACATGGAAAGTGAAGTGACCGAATGAAGAAAATTTTTAATTACATCAGCAGAATATTCGAGGTGAAACTAATACGAAATCACATATTATAATTTCTCATTGTGCCTATGATTATCCACTCCACGAGTTTTTGAATGCATGTTAGTAGAAACAGTTTTGATTGAAACGGAGGGTCAAAAGAAGAGGCATATGCCCTACCGTTTGAAAAATTATACCTACATTCAGGAAATATTAAGCGTTCGTGAAAAACTGCAAAAATGATTCCCATCATGAATATATACAGCACACATGACATATGAGCACATTAGTTTGAATACCTACATGACATTTTTCACCATTTCTCAACCATAAGGCTTAGTCTGAAATCAAAATTCATTTATTGATAGGTACTGCCTAAGAACAGTCCCATTTGGTAAAACGTATTGAACTTTCAGAAAAATTTGCTCGCTGCCTCACAAAGTTTATGCTGGAGTTGAAAAATCAAAAACTCGAGAATTATCATTATTATTCGAATATAATAATGTAGAGTTGAATGAGAAATTACATCTGGAAATTACGTATGATACGCCAATGTCCTCAACACAACCTAAAAAACAACGAATGTCAGAAATCTAGTGTTTATCCCCAGAAATGAATAAAGATGGAACTATATATAACTGTTTCACAAACACTTAAGAGTGAGAGGAGACGAGGATCTGTCCGTACCCTGTTAAGATGACAAATACGTCAATTTACATCAAGGGACCCTATTTCTGTAATTCTTCTCAGTTGTGGAACTGTCAAAATTATTCACTTGTGTAGACTGATGGATCTATTAATCATAATTTTCTGAGTATTTCATACTCCAGGATTTTTTCGGCGCATTGTATACTCTTTTGCGGAAATTGTGAGTTGACGGCACTGGCTATCAAGGTGCACAATAACCCTATTTCAATTTATTATAGTGTGTGGTTGAATGGCCAAATGATCTCTTACTGTTGAGTGGTGCTCTTGCACCTTATCATTTTTAGGGGACATATCTTTGTGCCCAAAGGGTCATTCCAAATTCAAAAATGTTATAAAAAGAATGTAAAAAATCAAAGAATCTGTATATACAACATTCTTAGGTTTTTAATATTGAAGCTATCAATTCGTGAACGAGAGGAATAGATAGACAACTACGGTTCGTTCATAAATTATCAAAAAGTATTATATTATTATTATCTATCTAATGAATTGGGTGTTTCATAAGATGTGTATGTGCAATGATGAAATATATCTCACGTAATGCAACATAATTTGTCCTGTATCTACTGAAAGAGAAGAATATCCTAATGGTTGAAAGAATATAGTAGAATTGGGAATTCATTTCCAAATCGGAGTTTTTTTCGAGAAATAACATTACTTTCCAGGATTATGATAGAGGAAATCATCTGTGCGTGATCATCAGTTTGATCACCCTGTTTTGATGTGTGGCTGAGTCTTATGCTCCAATTTCTTATGGTGAATATAACCGTGGAAGCATTCTTGTGAAATGTTTCAAAAAGGAAACACACTATATAACCTTACAAAACATTGTAATCAACCGATGAAATTGAAAAACAATTCAGGTTAATTTCGCATTATCTTCAGAGCGAAAACCTTTGATGAACTCCAAATTTCCATAAATGAAAAAAATCATATCATAATGATACGGAGTTTGATAATGACACTGTATATTGAATTCGTTTGTAAACCCCTGGTATATAATATTTCAGATGTGATTAATCAAAGATACAGTTCTTGTTCGAGAATTGTTCGGTTAGAATGATGACATGTAACTGATAAATCATTAAGGTGGTGAATCATGCATCGGATACCGGTGACCACGCAATATTGTATTAGATTTCATCGCGTACAGTCGATCTGATCGATTTGAAAAAATAACTTATATTGTTTACACGTGGGAATCAAAATGTATGGTGTCATTGAGTGATAAAAGTGCAATATTTGTGTGTGTGAGTGAGTGAGTTCTGGTGGAATTTTCCAACAATAAAAAGATTGGGATGTATTGTATTGTTGTTGCTCTTTTCAGAGATGGTGAGTGATTTTTTTATTATTTACTTTTTATTCATATACGGAGTGATTAAATAGATATCAATAAAACAAGTTGCAGAATTATTCGCGATTTTGTGAAGAGTGTGGGACAAAGTCTTTTGAAATTTCATATTTATCAACGTGTGCCATGTAAAAGGTCTTAGATCGCATCTCAATCGTCTGGAGGGCACTATAGTTCACGAAAATGTATTATTCATAATCAGTTTTTGCTTTAAAAACAATACAAAATAATTTTGAAAATTATTTTTTCGTCAATTGGATGTACTTGCAAGCTTTGACAAACTTTTTGATGAAATAAATTAGGTTTTCATGATATTTCGAAAAATAATGAATAAAAAAGTTGTTCCTCCGTAAGTGTCTGAAAACATTCTTGCAGCTGATGAGTATTCTACATTTTGAATGACCTTTTCGAATTTTTAGAAATCAATATGGCCGAAAAATTCAAGAAAAATATTGAAATTCGTTAAGTGGATGTGAAATTTTGCAAAACAACCCACTTTTTTGATGTTTTTTTCAAAACAAAATTTGGGTTTGATGAAATTTCGAATTATTTTCAGAGCCAAAACAATTCATGAACATCAAATTTGCCTGATTGAACATATCTCATGATACGGACTTTAACGGTGACACTGTATACTGAATTTCTCTCTAAACCACACCTCGTATACATTATTTCAGAAGTGAATAGTCAAAGATACAGTTTTTGTTCGGGAATTATTCGGTTAGAATGATGACGTATAACTGATAAATCATTAAGGTGGTGAATCATGCATCGGACACCGGTGACCACGCAGTATTGTATTAGATTTCATCGCGTACAGTCGATCTGATTGATTTGAAACAATAACTTATATTGTTTACACGTGGAAATCGAAATGTATGGTGTCATTGAGTAATTATAGTGCAATATTTGTGTGTGAATGAGTGAGTTCTGGTGGAATTTTCCAACAATGAAAAGACTGGGATGTGTTGTATTGTTGTGGTTCTTTTTAGATATGGTGAGTGATGTTTTTATTATTTTCTTTCTATTCATATACGGAGTGATTAAATAGAAATCAATAGAACAAGGTGCGAAATTATTTGTCATGCACTGCACTTGCTTCAAAATCAATACATAATTCAGAATCTAATTTCCTATTGATTGAGAATATTGTATACTGGGTGTCCCATTTAAAGACATTGAACTTTTTTACGTAACTCGTGAACGCTATGTTAGATTCCTGTTTAATTTTCACCAAAATACTACTACTTTGTCCATTTACCTGACTTGATAGCTCCAATATGATGACCAAGTTAGCAATAGTGCCGACATATATTTGAAATCCCTGTATCGAGCTTATAAAATTTCGTATAAAACGGTTAAACATGAAATTGAATAAAGTAAAATACGATTTCTATTATCAGTACTACCGAAATTTCCTAAATTAATTCTGATTTCAAATTACCATTTTTTTTTTATGATAATCTTATATACATAGTGAACTAACTTCGTGTGATGACTTCATGGGTAACTTTTTTCATTGGAAATCCCTTTTTTTCGATTTTCGGATTTTTCTGCTGAGCTGATTACAAAAAAGGTAGGTACAAAAGTTACTTGAAATTGGTACAGGTGAACAAAAATAGGATAGATTATGAAAATTTAAACCGAAGATCGATATGTATCAAGAATTTTCAATAGTTATTTTTCTTCTACTAATAATGAATTCATGTGACACTTCAAAATCTCTTTGTTCGAAAAATTGATTTTTTGACTTTGTGATGTCTAATTCGACAGTTGTTATTGATTTGCAAAAATCATCAACTTCATTTTGCACTTTTTCCAAAGTAAGAACAGTTCATGAAATCCTAATTTGCACAAACTAAATAGTAAGGAAATTCTATATGATGCGAACTTCAACGGTTACAATGTATATTGAAGTTCTTTTCACCCCACACTGTATATCTCCTATCGATATCGATATTAGTCATACTAGTTTGGGATTCAACCAGATGAAAGGATGACGTAACTAATTAGTCATTA